ATAAGTACCTGAAATAAATAAATACACACACTAAACTGCCACTGCTGCTTTAACTATGGAAGATGGATTGGGGACTATGGAAGAAGGGGGGATCAGAGAAGACAGGATCAAATAGCGGTTTTACACAATGCACTAAATTAAGCCATAAGACCTGCAAAGGGTTCCTGAGCCTTTAAATGGTCTCTCAGTCTGGTTCAGTAGGAATCCCAATCATGGGAAAGACTGCTGACCTGACAGTTGTGCAGAAAACCATCATTGACACCCTCCATAAGGAGGGAAAGCCTCAAAAGGTAATTGCAAAAGAAGTTGGATGTTCCCAAAGTGCTGTATCAAAGCACATTAATAGAAAGTTATGTGGAAGGGAAAAGTGTGGAAGAGAAAGGTGCACAAGCAGCAGGGATGACCACAGCCTGGAGAGGATTGTCAGGAAAAGGCCATTCAAAAGTGTTGGGGACTTACACAAGGAGTGGACTGAGGCTGGAGTCAGTGCATCAAGAGCCACCACACACAGACGGATCTGTGCTTCAAATGTCGTATTCCTCTTGTCAAGCCACTCCTGAACAACAAACAACGTTAGAAGCGTCTTACCTGGGCTAAAGAAAAACAGACCTGGTCTGTTGCTCAGTGGTCCAAAGTCCTCTTTTTTGATGAGAGCAACTTTTGCATCTCATTTGGAAACCAAGGACCCAGAGTATGGAGGAAGAATGGAGAGGCACACACTGCAAGATGCTTGAAGTCCAGTGTGAAGTTTCCACAGTCTGTGTTGATTTGGGGAGCCATGTCGTCTGCTGGTGTTGGTCCACTGTGCTTCATTAAGTCCAGGGTCAACGCAGCCGTCTACCAGGAGATTTTGGAGCACTTCATGATTCCTTCCACAAACGAGCTTTATGGGGATGCTGACTTCATTTTCCAGCAGGACTTGGCACCTGCCCACAATGCCAAAAGCACCAAAACCTGGTTCAATGACCGTGGGATTACTGTGCTCGATTGGCCAGCAAATCTATGGGGCATTGCCAAGAGAAAGATGAGAGACATGAGACCGAACACTGCAGAAGAGCTGAAGGCCGCTATAGAAGCATCCTGGTCTTCCATAACACCTCAGCAGTGCCAAAGGCTGATAGCTTCCATGCCACGCTGCATTGAGGCAGTAATTGCTGCAAAAGGGGCCCAAACCAAGTACTGAGTACATATGCATGCCTATACTTTTCAGAGGTCTGTTATTGTTCTATGTACAATCCTTGTTTTATTGATTGCATGTAATATTCTAATTTTCTGAGATTGTGGATTTGGGGTTTTCATGAGCTGTAAGCCATAATCATCACAATTATGACAAAATCAGGGCTTGAACTATCTTGCTTTGTATGTAATGAGTCTATCTCATATATCAGTTTCACTTTTAAGTTGCATTACTGAAATAAATGAACTTTTGCACAATATTCTCATTTTTCAAATTTCACCTGTACAGTGTGTCAGAACATGCTGCCCTACAGGAAAATGCTATGTGTCCCATATGTCCTCTTTATTTGAGAACACGCTGCCTGCAGAGCTTTGGTGTGAACTGAACCCCTCTCCTAAAGATCCCTGGGATATATGACATAATTTTGCCTAGGCCTGAAACCAGGAAGTAACTGAACAAATGTAAAAAGGTTTAACCCCTTCATGCCAACTGCACACAAATTAGCAACCTCACAGACCTGGGGTTTTTTTTTTTCATGGGGCTGCTAATTTGTGTACCTGTCTCTCTGCCGGGAGCACACCGCAACTGTCACTGAGAGCCCCAGGCTCCGTTCTAACGAACGATCCAGAACTCCCGATTCTGGCTCACCTGATCGCTGTGATAGACTCTGATTAGCTATCACAGTGATCAGTCACTCTGAAGCCTGTGCCCCTTGTTTTCTGTCTTTGAATGGAGAGAGATACATTGTATCTCTCTCTATCCTTTCAGAGAAAAAAAAAGCAAGTGTGTGTAAATAAATAAAAATAATAAAAAATAAACCAAAATACCTAGATCAAGGTTAGTGTTTGGGTTAAGGTCAGGGTCAAAGCCAGTGTTTTTTTTTAAGGGTCAGTTCACACTACATGCATTTCAGTGTGCTTTTATATGCATCCAAAATGCACAGAAAGTAGGTTATATGGTTGTCAATGTCATAGTTCACATCAGTGCTTGCGGTTCCAGTGTGTTCCGAATGGAGAAAAAAAAGTAGAGCAGGCTGCATTTTTCCTGCACAGCACTGTACTGGAACGCAGTAAAACGCATTAAAAACGCACTGGAATGCACCAAAACTAACTAAAAATGCACTGGAATGCACATGTCCCTATTTAAATTGAAGAAAAAGAGAGGGGAAAAAATTAACTGGAATGCATCAAAATGCACCGGGATGCACTAAAGACACAGAAACGCACATACAGAAATGCATCCGGAATGCATCTGGACTGCATTTTTATAGTGTGAACTGGCCCTAAATGTTTACATTAGTATCAGTGTCACTTAGTGGCAGGGTAAAAAAAAAAAAAAAAAAGAAGCAAATTGCGCACTATTGTTTGTGGGCCGTACTACGGGTACAAACAACAAATAACATACACACGTGTGGTATCGCTGCAATCGCCAGGAGCAGGAGAAATTATCTGGGGTTGTTCTTTGGTGGTAGGTTATGGTAGTAGCAAGAAATACACAGCTACATTTTTTTTTTTAAATGTTTTTTTTTTACTATTTTGGCCCAGTTTTTCTTTGGTAATAAACAAAAATCAAGAGATATCCATTACCCTTTACCACCAAATGAAAGCCCAATTTGCAGTACTGGACAGAGAGGAAAGAAAACAGTGGGGATTTTAAATTCCAGACCGGTGGAGCCCTGACAGTTCAGGATTGCCAGAGGTAAGTACAGCAAGGACCAGGGTTAGGGGTGGGGAGGGGGCAGGGGCGGACTGACCATTTGGAAACTCGGGTACCGCCCGAGGGCCCGGGGTCAGTAGGGGGCCCCATGAGATGCCCCTGGTACCTTTTTTCATAGGCTTTTTTGAGTTTGGGTAAGGACACAGGGGCCCCATGATCCCCTATTGCCCGGGGGCCCCATGAGTTGTCAGTCCACCCCTGGGAGGAGGTCCGCTATTAGGTCACCTTTAGAGATTTTCTGTAAAGTGTTTCTAAACCCAGGACCCTGCATTCTCTATATCTGGTCTCCCACAGTACACACATCATGGAAATGCAATTATTTTATGAAATATAAACTGCTAAATACCTTTTCTCATCAGCAGTTTATAGCAGTCTTGTGACTTCTATCGGTATCCAGACCAGAACTGGTTAATCTTGCAGTAGGAGTTTTCATTCTCCTCTGACTGTCCTATGAGGCTGCATAACCCCTGACCCTCTGTCTGGACAGTGCTGATTGGAATAAATAAGAAAAGATCTACACGACCACCAATGCGCTAAAATCTTCCTCTTTATTTAAGCGACCACAAAAGATTACATCAGAAATACAATAGGTTTCGGCTAAGAAGCTTTAGTAATAACCCATAATGTACCATGGAACATAAAAGATGAAAACCATAAATATAAGGTGTTAGAGAGGCAGACCTAGATCACCATACAGAAAACGCACGGCAGGTGGGATCTGAACTTACATTTACAATAGATTTTCTCCTTCCTTTCGCTTGAATTTTTTCTTTATTGTTGACAATTTTTGCATTTTCTGTATGGCAATCTAGGTCTCCTTCCTACCCTCAGCAAGCTTTTATTTGTGTGTGTTTTTTGTTTTCATTTTTTTATTTTTGTTTATTCTGAATGATGTTCAGTGTGGTGATACTGATTCAGGCTGTTTCCCGTGCATTCCACCTGTTGAATATTTTGCCATTATGGTGATCAACTTATTGATGGGCTCGGCCTGCCTCTCTACCACATTATATTTATGGTTTTTGTGTTTTATGTTCCATGGCACATTATGAGTTATGACTAAGGCTTCTTAGCCGAAACGCATCAACCTATTGTATTTTTGATGTAATATTTTAGCACTTCCGCCAGGCAGTACTGGGGCTGCTGGTTCATAATCCCAACCACCTGCCTGGAGTTTTGCATTTTCTCCCTGTGCCTGGGTGGGTTTCCTCCGGGTACTCTGGTTTCCTCCCACACTCCAAAGACATGCTGGTAGGTTAACTGGATCCTGTCTCAATTGGCCCTACTATGTGTATGTATGAATGTAAGTTAGGGACTTTAGACTGTACAGCCCTTGAGGGTTAGGGACTGATGTGAATGTACAATATATATGTAAAGTGCTGCGTAAATTGACGGCGATATATAAGTACCTGAAATAAATAAATACACACACTAAACTGTGCATGTGCAGACTTGCCACTGCTGCTTTAACTATGGAAGATGGATTGGGGACTATGGAAGAAGGGGGGATCAGAGAAGACAGGATCAAATAGCGGTTTTACACAATGCACTAAATTAAGCCATAAGACCTGCAAAGGGTTCCTGAGCCTTTAAATGGTCTCTCAGTCTGGTTCAGTAGGAATCCCAATCATGGGAAAGACTGCTGAAACGTAGTTGTGATATGGACGGTTTTACTAACACGTCAACGTTGCAAGATTGTACTTAGGTGTTAGATTTGTGTTACCCTTAGGCAGGAAGGGGTTAAAAGAAGTGACTATAATATACTTTCCTATTTACTAAGGCGAGCAGCAAAAGGATTACAAATAGTCTGAGAGCGTGAAGTTGTGCTTTATACTAGACGTTCACAGTGATGAAAGGACTGCACAGGAATGGGTCATTCTGAGGTAATGGAGGCTATCCCGTACACTGCTGTATGCTCTGTGTAACCTAGCCTGTGCTGGGTGGGCGGGGTCACGAGTCGGTACAGCTAGAAGGATGCTGGGATGCCCTTGTACAGGCAGTGGGCGTGGTCTCGGTCAGGCTCGGAGGAAGTGTGTGATATAGACAGTGTCTGATATCGGAGCCTCACACTCGCTGGACCGGCTCAGAGGAGGTGTCACGTGTCCTCACCATGGCTGACGTTCTGCCCAAGCTCTTCCAACACATTGACAATCACCAGGAACTCTATGTGCAGGTACTGTACATGTGTCCGTACAGGGAGGGGAGCACAGGCTCCATACATTGCAGCATGATATTATTATAGGGCTGGGCACCTCTGGAGCATCCCTCATGCTTTGCTGGGTGTGCCTTCAGTGGTAATGAGTACATCGAAATTCAGGTTTTTGTATTTTAAAACTGTGGACAGAGTAGGAAATAAAGCTAGTCCAGCATAAAAATGGCGTTTGGAGTTTAGGACAATGTGGGCAAGGGTTAGAACCCCTGCCAGGTATTTACTGCTGTCTGGGGATCATTTTAAAGAGGTTCTTCAGTCTTATAGTGATAGGAAACTCATTTCAACGCAAAAAAAAAAAAAAATCACCTACAGGTAAGTTGGATTGCTGCACGTTAAACTTTTATTGTTGAAAAAATCACCATACAAAAGGGTGATTTCCCCCCCCCCCCCAAAACAAAATGGACAAAGCCATACATCATAGTGTTTAACACTTCTTGTGGCCTTCAGATTACTACAACAGTGTGTAGAGAGCTTCATGGAATGGGTTTCCATGGCCATGCAGCTGCATCCAAGCCTTACATCACCAAGTGCAATGCAAGTCGGATGTAGAGGTGTAAAGCACGTCGTCACTGAACTCCACAGAGCAGTGGAGACGTGGTTCTCTCGAATTATGAATCCTGCTTCTCTGGCAATCCAATGGACTCTTCTGGGCTTGGCAGTTGCCAGGAGAACAGTACTTAGGCGACTGCATTGCGCCAAGTGTAAAGTTTGGTGGAGGGGGGTTTATGGTGTGGACTTGTATATCAGGGGTTGGACTTAGCCCTTTTGTTCCAGTGAAGGGAACTCTTAAGGCATCGGCATACCAAGACATTTTGGATAATTTCATGCTCCCAACTTTGTGGGGAACAGTTTGGGGATGGCACCTTTCTGTTCAAACATGACTGCACACCAGTGCACAAAGCAAGGTCCACAAAAACATGGATGAGAGTTTGGGGTGGAGGAACTTGACTGGCCTGCACGGAGTCCTGACCTCAACCTGATAGAACACATTTGGAACGAATTAGAGCAGAGACTTCGACCTTACAAATGCGCTTCTGGAAGAATGGTCAAACATTCCCATAGATACACTTCTAAACCTTGTGGACAGCCTTCCCAGAAGAGTCGTAGCTGTTAAAGCTACAAAGGGTGGGCAAACTCAATATTGAACCCAATGGACCAAGATTGGGATGTCATTGAAGTTCATGCACATGTAAAGGCAGACATCCCAATACTTTTGGCTATATATATTCGCAGATCAGTTCTTCACCAGTCTTTGGGTCCCCAGTGCCAGCAAGTTTACTAAGGGAAGCCAGCTTTGACTCATCGTGGCTTCATAGTCGGCTTCGTATTGCACATGCGTCAGTTGTGCTGTGCTTTTTGAATGGTCCTGTGGTCTTCTGGGACTTGTGGCTGGGATAATGCCTGCTCCGATTGCTTAAGCAGAAGTGGGTACCCAAAACTAGGTACCCACTCCCCAAGATAAAAAGGAAAAAAAAAAAAAAAAAAACCCTCCAAAAGTGGAAAAGGAGTGGGGAAGGAGGTGTTAAACTGAAACTTCCCTTTTAGAATCCACTTGTGTGACTTGCAATGAGATTTTGGGGTCCAAAGTTGCATGACAAGGCGCTGCCATGTTTCACAATGAGTATCATTCAAAGCTGTGCGAAGTCAGTTCCTACACTACTTTGGTATGAGTTTTGATGCGACTTGACTCCAGTGAATGTAAAGTCAGATCAAAGTCGCACTGATAACCGTGCGTCTCTGAAGACGTGCAAATGTGAATGGAGCCTTGGGGTGCAAATGTGAATGGAGCCTTGGGGTGAAGTTTCACTTCAAAAGTATATCTCCTCACTTTCTGTCCAGCTAACACTTTACCAGATAGGAAGTGAGGGGAAATCTGCAACAGCATCACAGACTGAAATAAAACTGCTTTTCTTTAGTAGACTAGGAGCGCTGACAGTTTTTATTTTTTATTCCTGTTGCAGAATTTCCTTCCTGCTTGGTGACAATGTTGTTAGCAAGGCTAAAAGTAAGGAAGTTTAGGTTTACTTTACTGTGTGCTGGAAATGTGCAAAATCTCACACATTTCTGACATGCAGAGAAATGTGCTGTACATTAGCAGACGTGCGGCAGTGCCATTACTTTTTAATGGCAACTGTAGCACGTTTACCTGCTTGTGGAGTAATAAAATGAATCGTACTACTACCTAATAACCTCCCTAGCAGTATGATTACGTCTATATTTCTGTTCTCAAAGTGGTACCTTTTTTGCATGGAAATGTTTTTTTTTATTGTAGGCCTGTACTTTTTAGGGCTAACTTGCTGAAATCTGTCTGAACAAGAGTCTAGTAAACAAATAACATTTTAAACCCGAAATTATTATATAATAATCATAAAAAATAATTTAATTCAATAATATAATCAAACCAAAAAGACTGAAATTTGAAATATAGCGCCAAGTTTGCATCACAGAACTTAGTCGCAAAATCGTTTTCAGTCTCTGACAAATTTCCACACAAATCATCACTCAATTCTGCAAGTGGTTTTGATTTACTATCGCTGTATTCTAACTGGTCTAAAACCGCTTTTGACATAAAGGGACGCTTTTTGGACGCCATGGACTTTTCTCAGTTTCCAGGCAGAATGGTAAAAATGCAGGCAGGGCACAGGACAAAGCACTAGGGACAAATGTGAAATGCTTTGAAACAGTAATGTTTTACTGTGTGATTTTAGTGTATTAGTGAATATCGCTTTTTTTTTAAATTTCCCGCCGGTTCTGTCCCCCGTACGTCCCGACGCTCGCAGAGACCAGAAGATGGATTCCAGCATCGGCCGAAGGAGATAGCTGGGACGCTGCAGGGGACACATTGCGGAGTGCAGGACATGCTAAGTGATCGAGGGAATCCCAGAGCAACACTGCAGGGTAATCCCGAGTGTAGCTCAGGGTTACTGCTTTTGGCACTGATAATTAACCCCGAGCTACACTCGGGAATACCGCCAGGGAGGTTAAAGCTGAGTTCCACTCACTCTGTAAAAAAAATAAATCAGCAGCTACAAAAACTGTAGCTGCTGACTTTAAAAAAAACAGCCACTCACCTGTCCCATGATCCCACGTTGCCCCCGCAGCAGCCCGTTTCACTGGCCATCCTGTATTACGGGCGCCGGCATCTTCAGTGTGGGCCCCCGGCTGTGACAGCTTGTGGTTTCACGGCTGGGTGCCCACTGCGCATGCATGAGTAGCGCTGTGCTTCCTGAATGGCCCCATCATCTTCTGGGACCTGTCATGTGTCCCACAAGACTCCAGGGAGGGTAGGAGGACAACTTTCGTTGTCAATTGCCGTGGGAGTGGGTACCTGTCAAATTCGGGTACCCATACCTCCTCCTCGCTCCCCAAAGGTGACAATTCTTAATGGGGAGCGGAGGACCAATCTTTAAAGCGGAACTTCCCCTTTTGGGTGGAAGTCAGCATTAAGTTACCTCCTATAACCAATATCCTATGCCTAATATGTTCAGTAAACAACAGTATTTCAAAATGTGTGCAAAGAAATTGTATTTGTAATATTGAGAATGTGTTTCTTGGAACATTTTTTTTTTTTTTTAAATACTGTTTACTAAACATATTGCACTTTTGGATGTAGGGATAGGCATAGGATATTGGTTATATGTAGTAACTTAATAGGTAGTAGTGCTATTCACTTTATTCTTCCACTTAGTGTTGATGTTTTACATCAAATAGGTGATAGCAGCTGTACTTTAATTATTGGGTGGTGGCACAGCTCCAAAGCATTCTTTCTCATATGTTCACCTGCTTGCCAAACTGCATGGTGCCGCAGCACCATTTCCAAAAAGGGTCTGGGACTTCTCTTCCCACGTTTCTTGTGGGTTGGGCAGCCCAATGATGGGAATATGCTGCTCTGCCCATGATGTGCGTGCGCAAATACGCATGCACAGTTTGTAAACTGGACCAAGCACTCTGTTATTAAAATCGTAGTCCTAATATCCTTATCCACACAAGCGGAGTGTACAGTATCCTTTATTGTGGCCATACACGCTTCAGTTTTTATTATCTAGGCCGGCCTTTCTGAACCAGGGTTCCTTGAGGTTTCTTCAGGGGTGCCTTGAGAAAATGTCTAAAAATTGCCCAAAACTTGTATACAAACCAGTGGGTGGAACAAGCCTTTTAGTTACACATAGCCCTAGGTTTGTTGTGTGCACCTATACGACCTTCTAGCCGCCGGTGTCCTGACAACCAATGACATCAGTTGATAAGGAGGATGTTGGTTGCCTGCACAGCATCCTTGTTTGACCCTCTCCATCAGTGCTGGGGTCACATTAGCACAGTGATGGAGAAAAACTGGGGGGAGAAGAGAAACATTTCCCCCCTCCTTTCACTTTCATTTGGTGATCTGATCAGTGACACATTTCCTGTCTAAATCTGGGTATACACATATAGTTTTTTCATTTGACCAATGAGCTCAAAAAAAAAAAAAAAAAAAAAAAAAAAAAATGAATCCCCATTTACATACGCAAAGTGGATGGAGGGATCCTCCTCCTTGTGCTATTGTATTCTGACAGCAGGGAGGGCGACTCCTCTGTCAGAATACACTGATCAGCAGTTGATCAAATGAAAGTGGTGTTTTTTTTTTTTTCTTGTTTTGTAGCATTCCTGTTTGACAGGTAGCAAGGTTCTGCCTTGCTCACACCATACTGCTGCATGGAATGGCACTGTCACAGGTAATTATGTGAGCACTGTTCTGTGCCTACCACCAGAGCAGTGAAGTGGAGGATGAGATTTAAGAGACACTTGGAAAACAGGTATGTATATTAAAATAACCCTAAAAATGAATGCTGTGAGGAACATTCAAGATGGAGTTGGGCTTTAAAGAAACCGGATCGCTGTTTTTTTTTTGTTTTGTTTTGTTTTTTTCCTCATTATGATTCACCCAGCATTTTACAGAATATACAAACTTAAAGCACAAATCTGGAAACTTGAACATTTTTTTCCTTGCAGTTTGGTTAAATGCTTGTTTAGGTCTAGGGGGTATAGAAAAGAATTACCTTCCTGATACTCCACTCTTCTGTGTTGCCGGAGTGGTCCCCACAGCATCTTCTGCCCTATGGTCCAACGGTCTAAGGTCCTGACATCAAGACTTCTGCAGGGTCCATAGCCCTGCAGTTGATGCGATAGCACAGAGGGCAGTCCACCGCCGGAACATGGCTGAGTGAAGGATCAGGTAAGTGCTCTTACTTTTCCCTAGAATAAACAAACAGAATTTTCTAATCTCCCTGAGTGATTTTAAAAATCAATATTGGCGAGTGCTTTGCAGCGTCACCAGCCATTGCAATATCTGTTGGCAACAGCTGTAAAGCTCAGCAAATGCCTAGTAATTCCAGCAGTCCTGGTAAAGAACCCATTACTATTTTTTAACTGACCACGATAGGTGTGGTCAGTTTCTGTCTTTGCTTCAGATTAGCATTGTCACTCTCCCCGGCCATACTTCTGAAGGATTTTGAATGGATGAACATTGTTACTTTATCCCAGCCTATACAAACCTAAGGGCGCCTTGAAGTCTCCTTGGAGGGAAAGAGCTCCTGGGACATCTGAAGCTACTAATTCTCTTTTTGAGTCTCCACCTTCCACCCTCAAAGAAGTAGGAATTCAAGTGGTAGCAAAGGCTGAAAGATTTTTTTTTTTTTTTTTTTTCCTTCATGCATTCTGTGCATGACGGCACAAAACCTTCTTCTGTGTAATGTTTCCCCCACAGCCCCACTTAATACTCACCTGAACCCCCTCACAATCCATTGATGTGTATGGGAGCCTCGGCTGTCCCAGGTCTCTCTCTCCTCATTGGCTGAGACACAACTTTGTCTCTCACTGCTATCAATCACAGCTAGTGAGGAGAGAGCCTGGGTGGGGCCAAGTCGCGGCTTTGTGTCTTATGGACGCATAGAGCAGGGCTTGGGAGCAAGCACGCACCAGTTCCCCCATAGCAAGTGGCTTGCTATTGGGGGCATTGGTCAAGGGGGAGGAGCCAAGAACAGCGGTGAGGGACCCAAGAAGAGGATAGGGGATTCTCTGTGCAAAACCACTGCACTGAGCAGGTAAATCTAACTTGTATTTACAAAAAAAACTAACCTTTTTAATATTACTTTAAAGGCTACTTCCAAGTATTTTGGGTGTAACCTGTTGACAAGTGGATTTCCCCCCCAACTCCTGGTTCTTCTGCCCTGCATCAGCTGTCAAATTTGAAATTGGTGCAGCTGTGCATGGCTTAACTTGCACTGCTGCATGATTCATTGAAACGTCTGTGAATAAATAAATTCCAGTCCCATTTGCCTCTGCAGCAAAGGGACTTGCATTCTAAATGGAACGCAAATGCTATGATCAGCGCACTTGTATTTCTTGAGGCTTCCTCCAGCTCTCTAACTGAAAGTCTGTACCTCTGTATCTAGAGCTGGAGGAGCCTGGTGCTGCATTATGATTCACTGATCACAGTTCTAATGCTTTGTAAGTTCATTCGGGGGGAAAAAAAAAAAACTTCTTTTTTTTTTTCTGCAAATATATGCCTGTTCATTTATTTTTGTGCTGAATTGTCCTTTTGCATGCTCCTCCATACTCAAAGTAGCAGTTATTTCCTTTGGCTTTCAAAGCTGAACAAAAAAAAAAAACATTAAAGGAGGGTATTTATATTTTGTTGGGGTTGGAAAATCAAAGCAAATCTTTTGCTCAGCTCTTTTGCCTAAATTTAGTATCCTGAATTTAGTTTGAAAAATATAGCCATCCCATGGGGTACATCTAGTTTTTGTTGCTCACTAGAGCGGTTTGGGAGAGATGTAACATTTTGTGTAACTTGATTTTGTTTTCTAATCCTGTAGAGACTGGCAGAATGGGTTGCTATCCAGAGTGTGTCAGCCTGGCCCGAAAAAAGAGGGGAAATCAAGAAGATGATGGAGGTGGCTGCCAAAGAAATTGAGCGCTTGGGTGGCAGCACAGAGCTGGTGGACATCGGAAAACAAAAGGTAACCTGCCTGAAGCAAACCGTATTTCTTATACTTTATGACTAAGGTATATACTTTGAAATTGACAAAAGGTTTAAAGCCAAGCTTTAACAGATCTATACCTATCACCTCTCCTAACCTGAAAAAGCTGTACCTTCAGAGTAAAAAACAAAACAAAAAAGAGAATTCTTTGATCTATAACTGCTTTGCACATAGTCTTCACGAAGCACAATTCTGGCCCACAGGCAGCAAACTCAGATTAACACCTTCCTGCCTGGCCTATAGCAGATTGACGGCCGAGCAGGACACTCGCCATTATGACTGGGTGTCATATGACGTCCTGTCGAAATCAGCCGTTCACGCGGTGGCACAGTCTGTCACCGGCTGTGTCCACTGGACACTGCCTGTGTCATGTGACCGCTGTAACCAATCACAGCAGATCACATGTTGATTGTATACAATGGATGGCTTCCTCTCATGCCATTCATTGTATACAATTGTGTTAGCTGTGATTGATCAAAGCAGTTGCATGGTACAGACAGGGCCAATCACAGCCCATCTGTATCATGTGATGAGCTTTGTCCAATCACAGCTAATCACAACAAAAAAGACCGAGTCTTTCATTCAATAACAAGTATTGCAAATATCAATGAAATACATTGGTATTAGCAATCATAATGTGAAAAAAAAAAAATCCTGATCACTTTTCCAGAGTAGTTCAATGTTACTATGGTAACATTGTATTGCTTTGGTCATAGTGTGTTTGAAAAAAGAATGTAATAAAAAATAATAGAAAATTTTGAAAAAAAATTATTTTTTATTACATACTGTCACCAGTCGGTGTCCCTGATCACCACCACACCACTTATATAATCACACTGGACTGGTGACAATATATATATATATATATATATATATATATATATATATATATATATATAAAAAAAAATTGTTTTTAATGTTTTCCCCTTTCCATTTCTACATCTTCCAAAAAATTGTAACAAATTACAACCTCCAAAAACTCACCATGCCTCTTACTAAATACCTTGGACTGTCTTCTTTTCCAAAAATGGGTAATTTGGGGGGTATTTGTACTATGGGCCTCAAATGAGATTGTCCGACAGTACATTGATCGATTTGTCAGATATATATACCATGGTTTGTGGACTCTATAACTCCTACAAACTAAATAATATACTAATTTGGGGTATTTTCACCAAAGAAATGTAGCAGAATACATTTTTACCTAAATTTATGAAGAAATTTTATAACAAAAATGAAAAAAAAAAGGAGTGTTTTTGGGAAAAAAAAAAAAAAAGTTTCAGGTTTTCTTTGTTTAGCAAAAAATAAAACAACTCAGTGGTGATACCACCAAAAGAAAGCTCTATTTGTGTGGGAAAAAAAAGATACTTTTTTTTTTTTATGGGTACAGTGTTGCATGACCGAGCAATTGTCATTCAAAATGCTGCAACAATGAAAGCTGAAAATTGGCCTTGGCAGGAAGAGGGTAAAAGTGCCCGGTGTTGAAGTGGTTAATATAAAAATTATATGAATTTTTTTTTTTTTTTTAGCACAGCTGTAGTGCTTTCTGGATAGCATTTGCAACTCATTTATTGTCTTCACTTATTGCCTAGAATTGCTGTGTGATCTCATGAGATTAATCTATCTAGAAGTATGCTTCAAATGAGAATAATCACCAAATAATCTCATGAATGAGAGATTAATCTACTTATTCCAAGCCAACAGAGGAGATTACTCAATAATACTTGCCTCAATGAAACTAAATGGCAGCATTGGTCAGTAATAGGAGACTGGTCTAGCAGATTTGTCTTTTTTTTTTTTTTTTTTTTTTTTTTTTTTTTTTTTTTTATGCTACATTTCACAGAAATCAATATGACTTAATCAAAGTAGGAGAATTTTGTTACTAAAAATCACATTTACAGATCTGGCCCAAAGGAGGACAGTGCCTGCTGACACTGTATAGGCCTGTTCTCTAGAGGCTGTGTTCAGTCTTGCACTTTTAGGTATTGACTTTTTAGGTATATCTAAAGTCAAAATGTTTCTTTCAGCTTTGAATGGAATAGGAATGGGTTAAAGAAAGCCCCTGTAAGGCTAAGTGGTTCCCCCCCCCCCCCAGTCTCTGTTATTTCCATTTCCTCTTCTATTTCTTTTCTTTCCCTGTTCCCTAGACACATGAGGAAATTAAAGTAAAACTGTCCATAGTGGGTGAAATCCTGTCTTAATTCTCATCCCCCATATTCTATGTACTTTTGGACAAGGTGTGCTTATTTTTTGCCCCAAGCTAACAGATTACATCTGTGGAGGAGTAAGGTACATGTTTTTGTTTTTTTTTTTTTTAAATCAAGGTATTTTTGCATGTCCTACAACAAAACAAGCAAGAGACATAATCTTGACATGGAACAACCATAAGCCAGCACCGGCAGCTCGGCATCATATGGAACAGTCAAAACAGAAAAAAAATATACAATAACTGAGGTTATAGGCCATATAAAGAAAAAAAAAAAACATTTTTGTCATATACAGAGATTGTGCAAAATCGCATTACACACATATAAGATTCTCAGAACCAGCATGGTCAGAATCATCAGTACAATCCCGTATCCTAGCACATCAGAGCCTGAAGATCCCTCAACTGTAGTAACATTACACCTACTACACCAGAAATCTAAACCTCATTCGTCCCCATGGATAGTGGTGAAAATGCTGAATCACTAGACTCCAGCCACAGAGACCATATTTTCCTAAAAAATTTTTTTTAGGGCAGTTCCTATGCTTGTCAGTCAACTCCGCCCTCTTCAAAGTAGCATTTAGAGCATTACGCAATTGACTATAAGTTGATGGGAAATCATTTTTGAAAGACGTTTACGGGCTATATACAAGGATCTAATCCATAACAAGTGCACCTCTACAGGAAGGGTGTCTTCAGAAATGATACCCAATAACGCAATTTTGGGATCAAGTTGCACTCGCATGGAACAGATCGAGTTAAGGGTGTTAAATACAGAGGACCAGTATCCGTGAAGCTTAGGACAATGCTATAACATATGAATACATGTACCGGTATCTAAATGGCATCTAGAACATAACGGAGAGTCTAATCTTCCCCAAGAGTAAAGTTTTCGTGGGGTGTAATGCACTCTATGAATTATAAACAGTTGGGATCATTCTCAAAGCGGTGCATGGCTCACGCAATCACAGCTGGCTTCCCAAAGTAAACCTGCCAGAAACGGGGACCCAACGAGCGGGCTCGGGTGAGGACCATGCTGGATCCCTGGACAGGTAAGTGTCCTCTTATTAAAAGTCAGCAGCTACAGTATTTGTAATACTTTTAACATCTTGTTAAATATACAAATTCCTTTTCAGTTTCTCTTTACCAATTGCATTGTTCTTGTGAATACTTGGCTGTTTGCCTGTAATAACTATTCCAGCCAGTTAGGGTGACTGTTGCAGAAACATAGTTATGCTTGACTAGCTACGGTTTCATCAGGTTTATGAATATAATTTTTTTTTTTTTTTTTTTAAATCCTTTTCAGTTTTTTAAAAATCATTTCACAATTGTTGGGAAGAGCACACATTTTGTAGTGAATAATTGTTGGGCTTAACGGCCTCCATTTAAATCTGAATTTAAGGCAAATGGCTAGACACACATCTGAAATACATATATTGCAATTAATTGTTTTTGCTTTCAGAAAGATTTGAAATTCAGTTCAATCTGTTTTCTGTTACAGGCACCACTTCACTCAGCATAGTCGGGTCAAACCTCACTTGTCTAGAAAAGTTAATCAGTGCAGCTTTGCCATTCATCTCTCAATTTTTTTTTCATTAAAAACTTTGAAAGAAAAGCCAAATGATTATCGTTACTTTCCTTTAAAAAAAAAAAAAAAAAAAACTTGCCAACCTTGGAATACTGGCAAGCAGAGTTTCCATACAGTTATAGCAGAAAAAAACATTAAATTCTTACTTGCAGTCTTTCACAGTTGTGAACTGTACATGTGACAATTACAGAGAAGAAACGGATAGTTATAGACATGTGGACAAATGTATAATTTACCAGTAATTCTTATGAATGTGGCATTTTTGTGAATGCTTGTTTGCGTTTCTAGCTCCCTGATGGTTCAGAGATCCCTCTTCCTCCCATTATTCTGGGTAAACTGGGTTCAGATCCACTTAAGAAAATGGTGTGTGTTTATGGTCACCTGGATGTCCAGCCAGCAGCTCTGGAAGATGGGTGGGACAGCGAGCCCTTTGTTCTGGAAGAAAGAGAGGGTAAGTGTGCCAGACCACAAGTAAACATTTTTTTACTTTTTTTTTTTTTTTCCACTTCATTTTCATTAAAAAAATAAAACCGAATATACAACAACCAACAGTCTTTAAATTTGTGATTAAACACTACATGATTATGACTTTCTAGGTGCCTCTACCCCCCCCCCCACCCCCTCCCTCTTTCCCTTCCCAATCTCTTCTTTAATGTTCATACCACAATTCAATAAGGTGCACTAAATTGAGCATACCTCTCATGTAGCTGAACCAAGATTTTGCAAGGTACTTCGGCCGGATGGCGAGGTACCACTACCCCATTTTACCTTACTTATACGAGATTTTGTATTAAGTGTGCACCTCTATATACTAATGTTTTCAATTATTTTGTATGTTTCATATTTTCCAATAAAAAATATTTCAATATAAATTTGTGAATAAAATACAGCCTAAATGATCGTCATGCTAGCGGAGTAGTAGATAATTCCACAACACAAAAAGGGCAGTTTAGCCATATAGTATAGCAAAGAAGGGTCATGGGTATAGTAGCAAGAGAAAGTAGAACTGTAAATATTTTATTCCTTTTTGACCTGTTCAGGATTTTTTTGCTGCAAAAGTCATTTGAGGTTTCGAGCTGGGCTTTGGGCCTCAATTGGCAACACCTTCAGCTATGGAATAACTATTGATTATGGAAAATATGTGAACCTACTGCTCTGAAACATCTGGATATCTTATTGTGATTATACACTGTGTGCACAATTAGGCAAGTTGTATTTTTTGAGGATTTAATTTCTTTAACTGAACAACTACAGTGCTCTTGGTCAATTCAAAATGTTAATAAACCTCAAACCTGTATATTTAAGAAAGTGAGGTTTTGGCTTTCTTGGGAGAATATCTGTGTGCACAATTTTCAGGCAACTATTAGTGTGTAGAATTATTGTGCAACTAAATGAAAATCTTCCCATCTCACTTGTTAATTTTCATCTTTTAAAGTGAGAATAATTTGTTGACTATCAACTTTTTGTGCAGCAGCAACCACATCCTCCCAGACAGAGAGGCGTACTGTTTTCCTTCATTGTAAATCTCCCGTTTTTAAGAAGGGCCCACAAGTTCTCAATAGGGTTTAGGTCAGGTGAGGAAGGGGGCCATGTTGTTCTTTCATCTTTAAGGCCTTTATTGGATAGCCAGTATAGTACTTTGATGCATTTGAGCATTGTCCTGCAAAAATATCATGGTCTTCTTGAAAGATGCAGACTTTTTCCTGTACCACTGCTTGAAGAAAGTGTCTTCTAAAAACTGGCAGTAGGTTTGGGAAATTGATTTTTGAGTACCGAAAAGGGTACAACTAGCTCATCTATAATAATACCAGTACTTCACCTCCACCTTGCTGGCATCTGAGTCAAAAGTGGAGCTTTGTGCCTGTTACTGATCCAGCCACAGGCCCATCCATCTGGTCCATCAGTAGTCACGCTCATCTCATCAGTCCATAAAACCTTGGAAAAATCTGTCTTCAGATATTTCTTGGCCCAGTCTTGATATTTCAACGTATGTGTCTTGTCCAGGGGTGGTCGGGTTTCAGCCTTCCCTACCTTGGCCATGTCTTTGAGCATTGAACGCCTATTCCTTCTAGGCACTCCAGATAGGTTGCAGTTCTGGAATATGACAGCACTGGAGGGTAATGGGTTCCTGGCACCTTCACACTTTTGATTTTTCTCAAATCTTTGGTAGTTTATTTCCATCTATTTTTCTCACCACATTTCTTGCCACCTTGTTCACTATTTGCAACAAAACGTTTGATTGCTTTGTGATCACTTCCCAATATTTTTGAGTCCTGCATCCCTCTGAAAGACAATGTTGGACTTTTCAGAGTCCGTTTAAATCTCTTCTTTGGCCCATTTTTCTTCAGGAAAAGAAGCTGCCTAATAATTATGCACACTTTGATTTAAGGTGTTGATCTCTTTAAGGCCACTCCCTCCCTCATTACACAAATACACATCACCTGATATGCTTAAATCTAATTAGCATTCATGTTTATACAGCTTGGAGTTGGACAGTATGCATAAAAATTATTTGGTCAAATACATACTTGCCTAATAATTGTGCACACAGTGTATGGTTTTTATCAATTGATTACTTTTTTTAAAAAAAGATTGAGTTACTGAATCAAGCACAGAAGCCTGCGACTTCTCTTTCTGTAACAGAACTCCCACAGTTTGCACTGATACAGAACATCAGTATGTGAGTAAAGACTTTTTGGGTGGAGTCATACTGCGATCAGTGGCGTCCTGAGGCAGGTACAGGGGGTGTGGTCTGCACCAGGTGACACCGGACCCGCTCCACAAAAAGGTAAGTTGTAAAGCAAGCCGACGATCCCCGTGGGATGGATCCGATGCATCCTGCGGGGATCGTGAGCTTTCTTTACAACTTACCTTTTCTTGGAGAGGGTCCGGTGTCACCTCGTATAGATTGCATGCCGACGAGTATCAACTGGAGTAGTGAAAAACTGTAACTGGTGTAGACATCTGTTTAATCCCTCTATACCTCTCAGGGCTCATGAACTTTTTTTCTGATTCCAGTGGGAAATGTGAACATTTTTCTTATTGGTGTGGGTGGACTGGAGAGCAAGCATACTGTGGATGGCTACAAGGTATAAAAGCTAGAAATAATCCCAGCAGTGGTACCAGAGCTGTTAGTCCCTTGCATGAGAAGCATGGCCTTTCATAGAATTCCTGAGATGTGCTTCTTATAATCTAGGGACCAGATTCATAAAGGTAGGGGTGGGCAAGTCTGGGAGTTAGAAGTTCTAGAGTTTTTCACTGTTTATCTGGGCAGTACAGAAATCACTATTTGCTAATTTTTATGGCCTGTTCTATTACTGAATGTCTGGAAGAGTGAGGAGAGGAGCATAAAGGGAAATGGGCAGAATGATTAAGACAGGAGAAATTACAGGAAAGCAAGAATGGAATTTTACATTTCTACTCACTGGCCATTAAGAGCTAGCTTACAGACAAGGTGCAAGCAAGTGGACAGAGCTTATCCCAGAAGTTGGGTCCTTGGATCAATCTGAAGAAGATGTGTGCACATGAGATGATTTTTGAATATTAAAAGTAATAGCAGACATTTTGTAGTTCATTCTCTCATGTAGGACCTTTTTAATTGTAATTGTTTAAAGTGGTTCTAAAGGTAGAAGGTTTTTTTTTACCTTAATGCATTCTATGCATTAAGATAAAAAACCTAGGTGCAGTTTTCCCCTTGGCCCCCGATACTTATCTGAGCCCCATCTCGATCCAGCGATGTGTATGAGAGCTGTAGCTCTCCTGGGTCTCTTTCTTCGTTGGCTTGCACCACAGCAGGAGCCATTGGCTTCTGCTTCTGTCAGTTGCAGCCAGTGAACCAATGAGGTGTGTGTGTGTGTGCCTGTGTGTGTGTGTGTGTGTGCCTGTGTGTGTGCCTGTGTGTGTGCGCCTGTGTCACACATGTATGTAAAAAGCTTAGTTTATCAGTGCATAAATAACATGACTGTATTTGTAAATACTCTTTCTGCATGGTCATCTGTATTTTAAGGAAATGTGCTCCCCTGTGTAAAGGTAATCTGTCACTGACATTCACGTTTCATGTAAATTAATAAAGCATATCAGCCAGTTTGTGTTGCACCACAGAGTAAAAAACAAAACCTGCTTATGCAAAAAGCAAGGGTGGACTTGCACGTATACAGATTACAAGCTGTACACTACAACAGGTTTCTAAAGATTTTGGTCCCATGCTGTTTATTGAAAACAGGAGGTTGCTCACTGGGCATGGGTGCCATACAGGGAACACTTTTTTTTTTTTTTCTCTGACTGGTCAAGGTCAGGAGACAGGGCAGTGGCATCGCAATCTCCAACATGTCCAATCAGAGAATGCTTTGTATTAATTGAGAAAATGCTAACTGTTCTCGCTGGGTGCGGACACCAATGTTCACAAAGCAGCAGGGTAGGACCCGGAAGCTAGGGGAGTAGCAGTTTCGATTACAGTGATTTTCATCTTCCACGGGGATCCTACATATATGGCACATACGTATTTACAGTGGTCCAGCTTGGACCATGTAAAAATTGCCATATCCAAACTTCAGCTTTAAGAACTGTAGTTTTTTGTTAAGAACTATAAATGTTTGTGTAGGGCTTGTTCACACCATATGTGCATAACAACTGATGTAAACTGACATGCAGATTTCACTTGCTGAGACATCAGTTTTAATGTGCGTTTTTCAATGAGTTTTATACACGTTGCAGATTCCTGTGCAGAAAATCTACACGTGATACCAGTGTTATGTGAACAGGGCACAAAGAGATCAATCAACTGATTTTGTTGTGCCCTTGCAGAACGCGTGCAGAAGAACTGACATTTCTGCACACTGGTGTGAACGAGGCTGTTAACGGTAGAAGCTGTTACTACTCCCAACTCGCATATCTCGCTCCAGCTACAGGTTTACGCAGATTCGGGCAAAGGGGCAAGACCAAATACACAAACAGCCGCATGCCAGTGAGGTCACTTTGTTTTCTTTTGGCTTTATTGAACTAGCCGAAAACACATGGATGGCCTGTCTGAAGACTGACCCTCTAAACGAATTTCATCTTCAGGGCTTAATCATAGATGGCTTTAATGAAGAAGTGATCTTATCTGTGTGTGCCCATTTGTTTCCTTGCACCTGTATGTTTAATTAGCTTTAAGGATCTGTGGCTTATAATGTAACCTATTCTATAGTCCTTTTATTAAGAGGGGCAATAGGTCTTGGCAACGTTACTGAGCAGAAATCCATATATGTATGTATCTAGCAAACCTATAGTAATATGTCTGCTTTCATGGACATATATCATTTAAAAACCTCTCTAAAGAAAAAAAGTGTTTTAAACGTCTTATCTTATCAATCTTTTGATAAAATGTCTGAAAAACTGATTGCATTAATCTGTATATATCTAATCGAAAACAAAATACTGTAGCTTCCATTCTTAGTCAATCAGTTCTTTTGACAGGCTCCATATACAGCACTGTATGTTCTGACCAGACTGGTGTCTGGATGATAAGGCAGAGGAAAACACCTCAGCTCATCGATCAATTCATATTTTTCCCATTAACCTATTCTCATGTGATCAATAATATGACATCTTTTTGCTGTTGGTGGGGTTTTCTTTTCTTTTTTTTCCAAGTTTCAAAGTTTGCAAAAATGTTGCTGTCTTGTGAATATAGTAAAGGAAACACTTTAACATTAACTTGCACATAATATGTAGTGTCAGCAGTTTCTTTAGTTGTCACTTGTGCTGTAATTGATTCAAGTTGGAGAGCAAAGGTTTCATGCAGCTTACACTGCTATCTTAGGAGATACTGCAAGGTGACCTCCAGCTTGCTCTTCTTATATCAGAGGATGATTGCAGTCATTCTGATTATTCTTTCCTAGGCTGCAATGGGGGAAATTTACTAAAGATTGTGCACACAGAGGTTGATTGGTATCCATGCACAGCTGCACCAGATTCTAACTTCAGTTTGTTAAATCAAGCTTTCACCATATAACCTAGAATCTGGTTACTATGCACAGCTGCACCAGATTCTGTGTGCTCCAGCTTTAGTAAATCCTCCGTAATGTTTAATATATAGTTATTTCTTAACTATAATATCTATGCTACCTGTCCATGTTTTTTGTGAATCAATGAATATAGGTGTATCTTAAAATATGCAGGTTCAGATACTGTAGATGCTCATAAGCATCAGATGACATGTTTTTGTTTCTTCTTGAGTTGTCCTTTTGTCCAGATCACGATGATCGAATGTTTATCTACCAGTAGACACTTCTGATTAAGGTTGGGCAAAGTGAGAGGAATGTTTGGGAAAATGTTGTCTAACTGCTACTGTTATGTTATTCTTCCTGATATGTTGACACAGAAGGTGTTTGCTGTATGCCCTTCCTCGCTTCTTTATAGGCCTATCACCAATGGTCACCTGATTAGAATAAGACCTGGAATGAACAGACCTGAGTCTATAAATTGTGTTTTTATTTCTACTTTTAGGTGGACATCCCTTTGTTACCCATATGAAAGAAAAATATATTTTGAAATTTATATTTTAAAAATATTATTCCCAAATATATTGCCATATATTTGAAATGCTAAAATTTTGGCCATATTCAATAGATTTCTAATAAAAAAATATATATATATATATTGCATGTTGAAATGTTTTTATTACAAAATATATGAAAAATATTTTAAAAATACATTTCAAATATACTGTGTCTTTAAAAATACAATTCTACTTTTTTTTTTTTTTTTTTTTTTTCTCTTTGAATGTATTTACAAATTTTTGTAAAAATAAGTTAAAATGATTTTTATATGTTAAATTAAATCAGAAGAATATATTTAGAAAAAAATATATTTTTAAAAACACAAAATTGTAGCATTTCAAATATATTTTTCTTCCATTTGGGTATCCAGACTACTAAGTTTGCCACTAGGTAAAGAGCGAATGACAGGCATTACTATTCTTCTAATACAAATGGTACTTGGTTAATCGAACTTTGATTCACCCAGGCTTACCAGTGCCCACTGAAGATGTTTCAAGCAGTGACCCCTTTAACTTTAATGACAGAAGACCGGGGCACTCATTTGTTTGCTTATGGCTTCTCTTTAAAGTGTATGTATAACCAGAACTTTATATTTTTAGCTTAGGGTTTCTAGAGGAGGCTTACAACCCCAATCAGTATTATTATTTTACCATATGTGTACTATTTAGGAAAATTTCCCATTTATGTGCAGCCCCAGAGAGGCAGCGGGACATCAGAGAAAATTTACCACAGTGAGAAGAATTCCCCTTTTCAGATCGTTTCCCCAAAGCAGGTGTCCCCTTCCTTTTTTTTTTTTTTTTTTTTTTTTTTTTTTTTTTTTTTGTTCTGGGGTACAACTGTAAAAGTCTGCATTTCTCCTCACTTTGTGAGCAATTGTGGTTACCAGAAGAAAGGAAGTAACTGAATCTTCCCACAGGTCCAAAACCTAAAAACGTTTGCCTAGAATTGTAGATAGTGTTATTATTCTCAGGAGCAAACATACAGAGCAATCCCAATGACTATTCAGTTCATAACATAACTGTGTAGACAGTCTGTGCAACTCCACCTAGGACATAGCAGCTTTCTGTGAAGTAGTTATCTTTTATCCGCTAGCTCTAGGGGCAGATACTTCATCATCAAATGGAACACTTATGCCAGCTAGTATTAGTGGCATTTATAACCCTGGCTACCCAATCGATTTATTAGAGGTCTTATACTTAGAAATTGGGCTACCTAGTTGGAAATACTGTCCAAATATGACACGCTGCTTGTTCGATAGCATTCGCTTATACTTGGTTTAAGTCCAAAAGATCACTGCTACATCTAGCTTCCACCCTACTTGGTGACACCAGAGGACATGCCAACAGCAGGCTGTTGGGTCATTTCAATCTGGCATAGTGTTTGTCCACAAAAGTTGTTCTCCCCTTTTTTTAACTGTTAATATCCAAAATTAATTAATTTGTTTGCACTGTGTTTTGGCCACAACTTTCTTTGTCTGCCAGTTCAATTTGTACAAGCATCTATTAGATCAGCAATATACTGAACTATACAGCGCCTTGAAAAAGTATTCATACCCCTTGAAATTTTGTCATGTTACAACCAAAAAACGTAAATGTATTTTATTGGGATTTTAGACCAACACAAAGTGGCACATAATTGTGAAGAGGAAGAAAAATGATAAATGGTTTTCAAAATTTTTTACAAATATCTGCAAAAATGTGGTGTGCATTTGTATTCAGCCCCCCTGAGTCAATACTTTGTAGAAAAACTTTCGCTGCAATTACAGTTGCAAGTCTATTTTGGGTATGTCTCTACCAGCTTTACACATCTAGAGTGAAATTTTTGCCCATTCATTTTTGCAAAATAGTTCAAGCTCTGTCAGATTGGAGCGTGTCTATGAACAGCAATTTTCAAGTCTTGCCACAGTTTCTCAATTGAATTTAGGTCTAGACTTTTCACTGGGCCATTCTAACACATGAATATGCTTTGATCTAAACAATTCCATTGTTGCTCTGGCTGTATGTGTAGGGTCATTGTCCTGCTGGAAGATTAACCCCTGCCCCAGTCTAGAGTTTTCTTCTAAGACTGCCCTGTATTTGGCTCCATCCATCTTCCCATCAACTCTGACTAGCTTCCCTGTCCCTGCTGAAGAAAAACATCCCTACAGCAGGATGCTGCCCCTACCATGTTTACCGGTGGGGATGGTGTGGTCAGAGTGATGTGCAGCGTTAGTTTTCCGCCACACATAGCATTTTGCTTTTAGGCCAAAAAGTTCAATTTTGGTCTCATCTGACCAGAACACCTTCCATGTGTTTGCTGTGAACCCACATGGCTTCTCGCAAACTGCAAAGAGGACTTCTTATGGCTTTTTTTCAACAATGGCTTCTTGCTACTCTTCATTAAAAAAAAGCCAGATATGTGGAGTGCATGACTAATGGTTGTCCTCTGGACATATTCTCCCACCTGAGCTGTGGATTTCTGCAGCTCCTCCAGAGTTACCATGGTCCTCCTTGGCTGCTTCTCTGATTTAATGCTCTCCTTGCCTGGCATGTCAGTTTAGGTGGACGGCCAGGTCTTGGTAGGTTTGCAGCAGTTGTGCCATACTCTTTCCATTTTTGGATGATGGATTGAGCACTGCTCCATGAGATGTTCAAAGCTTGGTATATTTTTTTTTTCTTTTTTATAACCCAGCACTACTTTTACACTTCTCCACAACTTTTTCCCTGACCTGCCTGTGTTCTTTGGCCTTCATGATGCTGTTTGTTCACTAATGTTCTCTAATAAACTTCTGAGGGCTTCACAGAACTGTATTTGTATACTGAGAATAAATTACACACAGGTGGGCTCTATTTACTAATTAGGTGACTTCTGAAGGCAATTGGTTCCAGTAGATTTTAGTTGGGGGTATCAGAATAAAGGGGGCTGAATACGAATGCACGCCACACTTTTCAGATATTTGTAAAAAAAAAATTTTAAAACCATCTATAATTTTCCTTCCACTTCACAATTCTGTGCCCCTTTGTGCTGGTCTATTATATAAAAGCCCAATAAAATACATTTACATTTTTGGTTGTAACATGACAAAATGTGAAAAATTGCAAGGGGTATGAATACTTTTTCAAGGCACTGTATATTTGGGAAAGAGCAGGCAAATATCCAGAGAGGGGGCAGTGTATAGCTCAGCATTATGTGTAATTATGCCACCAAGGTTACAACTCTAGCAAGTTGACTTTATTTTTGCACCTTTGCTCTTATAAGTGTGCTGACAGTTCAGATCATACATCTTCAAGATTACATATTGGCTGAACTAGACTATTATATTGTCATTATTGCTCTAGATAAACATGAATTTCCACAACTGACTGTGTTATCTTCATGACGGATTTGTTTGTATCTAGGTAAACTCTATGGGAGAGGCTCTACAGATGACAAAGGTCCAGTGCTTGCTTGGCTTAATTGCATTGAAGCTTATCAGCAAACAAAGCAGGTAAAATATACTGAACTTTGATAAAGCTATAGAAGATATAGATTACTACTTTTTACTCATGCTGGGTACACACTGAGGTGTTTTTTTTTTTTTTTTTTACCAATGGGCAAAAAAAAAAAAAAACTTGATTCCTGCATCCACACAAGTGAGGTGAATACAGGAATCTCCCCTACTGTGCTGTTGTATTCTGACAGCGGGGCTCCCTCCCTGTTAGACTATACTGATCAGGGCTGCAGTGACTGATTGAATGCAGGTTTTCCAGCAGGACCGATTTGGCTTCTCTCGATCAGAGAGCTTCAGTTTCAATCTTTGTGTATCTAGAGTTAGGCTGCCTTTTAGAATTTGGAGGGGGATTGGACCCTCCAGCATCTAACCACTCAATGGACAGTTAATTTTGTGAAAGCTATAGAGCAGTCTGCAAACTTGCATAACTGACACTTTGTACAAAGTTAGTGTCCATGAGCCATTTACATTACACAGGTGTGTCTGCATCAAGAGACTATGTACACTTATTGTGAAATGGTTGCATGCAATCCAGTTTCACTGTCTGACAGTTTAATATTTAGCCTGCATCTTAGTTTAAATTCTTCAATATTACTGTACAAAACTAAGGGGGAATCTAAGCTAATTAATAACTAGCAAGGTGGCTAGGAAGAATTTAAGTGCATGCAGCTTTCATTCATTTTCAATTAAATGTTATCAGCTCGTGATTCCTATAGCTAATGGTTCAATTGACATTGATAAGACAGCCCATACACTAGTCAGTGGTTTTTTTGTTCAACCAGAGAGTTGAATTAAAAAAACTGACACGATTTCTTCATCCACACATTTTGAGCTATTGTATTCTGACAGTGGGGCGACTTCCCCATCAGAATACAGTGATCAGTGCTGCAGTCTAGTGCCTTGGGTGCTGATCGAGCCAGGAAAAGCTACAGGTGGATTGTAACTGGGCTCCTCGGACACCCACTGGGCCCTAGGCTGCTGTCTAGGTTATTTTGTGCATGATCTGGCTTTGCTAATGGTAGTTATTGGAATGTCACAGCAGACTACCTCTGACATCTTCCCAGGGAATTGACTGGGTTCCATTTAATTGGGGAGTAATGTGACACCATGTCGAGTTTGACCTTCTAAGAAAATAGAAGAATGTTTTAAACCATGTGCCTGTTGATAGCCATCATTAGTTAGTTGGGTCATATCGTATAAGATTGTAGTAAGTCCCAGCAAGTTCAAGAATGAACTGATATTTTACCTTTTTTTATGTTTGGATCTCACAAGAAATGGCCAACATTCCAGAATCCTGCCCATTGAACAGAAAAAGTGCTTATTCAGTGTCCAGAAAGTAGGTTGGAGGCAGAGAGGTGACCTAAGGGCCTGTGTACATGGGCTTTTGTTCCCTTCAAATAGGTTTTGCAACCCTGTACAAGCTTATAGGAATGAAAAACCCATTTGAAGCAACTGAAATGCAGGTCAGAAGGCGGTCAACTGCTGGTCAGATTAACCTATTTTAAATTCTGAATGATGTCATCAGTTTGAGAGGTTTTTGATATCAACACAGGCCCCTAGGAAGTTGAAAGTCCAGTCCAGAAAATGAGGTGTGTGTGTTGTATCTGGACACAGGCACAGTTTTTTTTTCAGGTATTGACTAAAACATATTCAAGCTACAGTTGTATATATGGGCTGAAAGTACACACTCTCAGGTTTAATTTGAGGGTAAGTACATCCAAATTGGAGGAAGGGTTTAGGAATTACAGCTCTTAAGAGTAGCTATCCACCCTTTTCAAGGGATCAAAAGCTGTTTCATGGCCAGGTGTGGGCTACTCCTTCGTTTATTTCTTCATCAATTAAGTAAGTAAAAAGTCTGGGGTTGATTCTAATGCAGGCCATACATGGATCGAATTCCAAACAAATTTTCTTTACAAAACTTGCGAAAATTCCGATTTTTCTAATCCGATGGTGCCACCATTGATTTCGAAATTCAACCAACCAAGCCTTCAATTTCACCTCATGTTGCTACAGAAAAGAATTTTCATGGCCAAGAATTTTTCTTTCCAGGTCACAGCTCAGGCTTATTTTGTTTTCATTTATATTTCCCGCACGATACTGTCATCATTGATTCAAAATTTGTCCATTTTTTTTTTTTTTCAAAAAATTTCCAACATGCCCGATCTGTGGTCCACTAATGGTGCGAAATTCGAACGAGAATTCTTGGAAAAGATTTTCGAAAGAAAATTGTTTCGGGATTCGACCCGTGTATGACCGGCTTTAGTGTGGTATTTGGAATCTTTTGCTGTGAACCTACATCTTGTGTTCAAAGGAGCTGTTCGTGCAAGTAAAACAGGCCATTGCAAGGCTTCAAAAACTAAACAAATCCATCAGAGACCAGCAACATTAGGAGTGGCCAAACCCACAATTTGGTACATTCTGAGGAAAGAACGCACTGGTGAGCTCCACAACATAAAAAGGCAAGGACATCCATGGAAGACAACAGTGGTGGATGATAGCAGGATCCTCTATGGATAGAAAAACTTTTGGATGGGATTTTGTCTGTTTTCAGCCAGACTAACTATGTAAAGAAAAACCCATTCACAACATCCAGACAAGTGAAGGACACTCTCTCCAGGAGGTAGACTTATTATTGTCAAAGTCTATAATCAAGAGAAGACTTCACGAGAGCAAATACAGAGGGTTCACCACAAGGTGCAAACCATTCATAAACCCGGAGAATAGAAAAAGGCAGATTAGACTTTGCCAAAAAAAAAGCCAGACCAGTTCTGGAAAAGAGTTCTTTGGACGGATGAAACTAAGATTAATCTGTACCAGAATGATGGGAAGAAAAAAAGTGCGGAGAAGGCTTGGAACAGCTCATGACCCAAAGCACACAACATCATCTGTAAAACATGGTGGAGGCAGTGTGATGGCATGGGCATGCATAGCTTCCATTGGCACTGGGTCATTGGTGTTTATTGATGATGTGACAGAAGACTGAAGCAACTGAATGAATTCTGCAGTGTTTAAAGATGTATATGGTCAGCCTAGATTCAGCCAAATGCAGCAAAGTTGATTGGATGGCACTTCACAGTGCAGATGGAGCTTTTGAAGGCAAAGAAGTGAAATATTTTGCAATGGCCGAGTCAATCACCTGATCTCAACCCAATTGAGCATGCATTTCACTTTGCTGAAGGCGAAACTAAAAGCAGAAAGACGCACAAACAAAGAGCAACTGAAGACCGCTGCAGTTAGAGCCTGGCAAAGCATCAGAAGAAGGAGGACACTCAGTCTTTGGTAATGTCAATGGGTTCCAGACTTCAGGCAGTCATTGCCAGTAAAGGATTCTCAACAAAATATTAAAAATGAATGATTTATGATTCTATTCATTTGTTCAATTACTTTTGGTCCCTTGAAAAAGGGGGGGGGGGGTGTGGCTACTCCTTAAGAGCTGTAATTTTTAAACCCTTCCTAATTTGGATGTACCGTTTTTTTTCGCTCCATAAGACGCACCTGACCATAAGATGCGCCTAGGTTTTAGAGAAGAAACACAAGAAAAAAATATTCTGAACCAATGGACTGCGGACACAGTACAGGGGATGACCAGAGACTGCAGACACAGTACAGGGGATGACCAGAGACTGCGGACCTTTGGGGAGGGAGGGGGAACGGGTACCTGAATTTGACAGGTACCCGCTCTCACTTCCGCGGAGTTGTCCTTCCTTCTTCCCGCGGCAGCTTCTGTGACAACCGGGTGCCCACTGCGCATGCGTGAGAAGCGCACTGGGCACCCGGCTGTCACAGAAGCTGCCGCGGGAAGACTGGAGCGAGGAATAGGTAAGGTCCTGCAGGAAAGAAGAGCTGAGCGACCGGCCCGATAATCTGACATGGTGGCGGCAGAAATACCGGACCGGCCGCTTTTACATTCGCTCCATAAGACGCACTGACCTTTTCCCCCCTTTTTTGGGGGGGAAAAGTGCGTCTTATGGAGCACAAAATACGGTACATACCCTCAAATTAAACCTGAGTGTGCACTTTTCAGCCCATATCAATTATATAACTATAGCTTGAATATGTTCTAGTAAATACCGGGAAAAAAACTAAAATTGTGTGTAATAAAAGGACGTCGGGCCACCCTCATGAAGTCTGTTTCTGATTTGTTTGGTCAGGTACATTCACGCCAGTGGCCTGCTGGAGGTCATTTTGCTCTGACAGTGCTCACCCTGTTCCTCCTTCCACAAAGGAGCAGATACCGGTCCTGCTGATGGGTTAAGGACCTTCTATGGCTCTGTCCAGCTCTCCTCTGGCAATGGCACATATTAATGTGCCATCCAGGAGGAGTTGGACTGCCTGTGCAACCTCTGTAGGGTCCAGGTATTGCCTCATGCTACCAGTAGTGACACTGACCCTAGCCAAGTGCAAAACTAGTGAAAAAGTCAGAAAAGATATATTAGTAGGGGAAAAAATGTCATTGACCTCCACCTGTAAAACCATTCCTGTTTTGGGGGTCATCTCATTGCCCATTTAGTGCACCTGATAATTTCATTAACACCAAAGCAGCTGAAATTGATTAACAACCCCCTCTGCTACTTAACTGACCAGATCAGTATCTCAGGAGTTTAACTTGATGCTATACTCTGATTTAAAAAGTGTTCCTTCTGTATCTTACTAATTGTTGCTTTGTGTTTTATTCTAAGGAGCTTCCAGTGAACCTGAAATTCTGCTTTGAGGGAATGGAAGAGTCTGGATCTGAAGGCCTAGACGATTTGATTATTTCCAAAAAAGACACTTTTTTCAAAGATGTGGACTATGTTTGCATTTCTGACAACTACTGGCTTGGCAAAAACAAGCCATGCATTACGTATGGACTGCGTGGTATTTGCTACTTTTTTATTGAGGTAAAATAATTGTGCTAGACAACAGAACCTTCTGTCACTGTTAATCACAATCTTAATGTACCCGCTCACTTTGAAATTCTGAAGAAAAAATAAACTTTTCACCTGAAAAATTCTAGATAAATACAAATTGACATAACTTTAAGCATCCTGAAGCCAGATCTGATTTGTTTATATAGAACTGTTGCTTATGGCAATCTTTTCCAGCTGCCATTTTTCAGATTTGAATTACACCTACCTGTGCTAGAAAATTCTCTTAAATAGTGCAACTAATTATGTTTAGGAAGTGTCGGGAGGTTCATATACGGGGATGTGATGTATATGACTGCTTTTAGACTGTAGCAGAGAGACTTGGCAATGAAAGACTACCAACAAGAGAATATTTTTCTGCTATAAGCCTTCAGTCCCTGTAAACAGTAATATGTATTTCTGGCATTCATAGTAAAATTTTGTAAGTTACAAAAAGATAGAAATATAAACCATCATAGCATATGTGGGGCAAATAATTTTTCTTTGCCAAATCATTTGTTAAACAATACCATTATCAGTGTAATAGGTTAGCGGTCTGACTGCTGGCTGATCATATCCACTTGCTGAATAAAAACTAATGATGTGTAGCGTGAAGGGAAGTAATGATTTCTCACGAAAATGCAGAATGATTGGAGAGAGTTCTATGCTCTGGCCTAAGTTATCTATAGGCCCATTCTAGATACATGTCTGCAGGGAATCCTGGACAATAAGTCGGCTGTGTGGGTAATTTTTCTTCTCCTGCTGGGTGATAAGTGAGTCAACTGTACATTTTATTCTCTTTGTAGGTTGAATGTAGCAACAAGGATCTTCACTCGGGGGTCTATGGAGGCTCTGTGCATGAGGCAATGACTGACCTAATTTTTCTAATGGGTAAGACTCAGACCACGCTACCACAGATCATCCTTATAAGTATTAACCACCTCCTGCCAGTCATAAGGAAATGACAGGCAGGCGATGGCTCTTGTTCTGGGAGGATGTCATATGACGTCCTCCCACTAACTGCGCATGTGCGCCCTGGCAGTCGCTGGTGTGCTGTGTCCCTGGGACACAGCAGATCACCATAAAGAGCTGATGACATAGGCTCTGGCATGTGATCGGCTGTGTCCAATCACAGCTGATTGCATGTAAACAGGAAATGTTGGTTATCAGCAGTCTTCTCCTCATGCTGACAGCGCGTGAGGGGAGATCTGGTAAGCTGCATTCCTCAGAGGGGACATGGGCACAGATGATCAGTGGAGCCCCATCAGTGCCACCTGTTAGTGCACATCAATGGTACGTATCAGAGCTGCCTTTCAGTGCCAGTCAGTGCCGCCTATCATTAAAAATGAGTGCTCCCTGTCAACGCCCACCATTGCCACCTATCGGTGCCCATCACTGCAGTCTCATTAGCTCACGTCGTGAAGGAGAAAAATTTATTACAAAATGTTATAATTTTGAAAAAAATTTCTATGTTTCTGTTATGTGTTTGTTGTGTTTTTGTTTTTTGTTTTTTTTTTTTTCAGTTTGTTTAGCAAAAAAATAAAAAGCCCAGTGGTGATTAAATACCACCAAATAAAAGCTCTATATGTCTCAAAAGATCAAAATGTTGTTTTGGGTACAGTGTTGCAGGAACGTGCAATTTTCATTCAAAGTGCGACAGCGCTGAAAGCTGCAAATTGGTCTGGGCAGGAAGGGGGTAAAAGTGCCTGGTTAAAGTGGAGTTCCACCCAAAAGTGGAAGCTCTCTTTTCTGCCTCCTTACCCCTACCCCCCTCCTCCCCCGCCACATTTGGCACCTTTTTGGCAGGGAGTGGGTACCTAGTTTTGACAGGTACCCAATCCCACTTCCAGCTCAGTTTGCCGCAAGGCTTCTCTGTCTGTTTTCCCTTAGTCAAGATGGCGGTGTCTGCATTGAAGCATCAGCTTGGGGTGAGGACACTCTGGAACTCCGCTTTAATGTGCTAGTTAAAGGGATTTTTTACTTTTCAGCAAAGGGAAACCCCGTTTCATTAATAGTCGTATACCACTTAGTGGTGTTCACTTATTTAGTCCCTTTGCTCTCAGCTATTTTGCAGTTATTATAAAAAAAAAAGGGTTGTCTGAATAATTAATACAGCTTAGCCTATTCCAGTGTAGTGCAGCTGTTGTACCATAACAAAAAAGGTTGTGCAATTCTGGGAATTCCTGCAGCCTCATAGCTGCATTTTCAATGCTGTAAACCAACTGATTCTGGAGGTAAAGAGCATGAAATCGCTTGCTATTTTGGCATTGGGCTACACATTGGGGTTGGAGAAGATCCCTTTCTTGTGGTATTTTTTCAAATGCTCTTGTTTTATTGTTTAAATTGCACTACATTTTATCTATTTTATGTAGTGTAACTTGAAAATGTTTTCAAAGTGGAAGCTGCGATTTAGAAATCAAAACTGTAAATCTATAGTCAGTGAAAGCTAGCATGGAGTTGCTGTGCACACCATTAACAGTTCTCCTTTTCAATTGTAAATTGGTATCTGTTGTATGTGAGAATCAATTTCATCAGCTTCTTAGAATAGAAATGTGGACAATTTCTTCATGGTCATCGAATAAAAGTATTTGCTGTACATTTACTTTCTTTTCTATAGGAAGCTTAATGGACAAGAAAGGTAAAATCCTTATCCCTGGAATAAATGAAGCTGTAGCACCTCTAGCAATCGAGGAAAAAGAAATTTATGAAAAAATTGACTTTGATCTTGAAGACTTTGCAAAAGATATATTGGTGCTAGTAAACTTCTACATGGCACAAAGGTAATGGATCACTGTGGAACAGAAGTTAGTGCTCAAATATCTTGGTAGATTTAGAATGGAAATAGTTTATTTAAAGGTAATCTTTAATTTCTTTATATGGTAGTTAATAACTTCTATGGGCAAACTTATTTGCCTATTAAATATAACATACTTTAACCATGCATACGTTAATTTTCCTCAAAAATAGAATACACCCTTTAAAATAGGGTATCATTTTAAACCAAAGGACCTGTTTCTGGTGTTTTTTGAATTTTAACACTTGGGGTGATATATTCAAGGCAATTATAAAAAAAAAAAAAAAAAAAAAAAAAAAAAACCCAAGCATATTATACTTGCCATTTTATACTTGTGCAGTGGTTTTACACAGAACAGCCTTGATTCTTCTTTTCTCAGGTCCCCCACAAGTGCTCCTGTCTCTCCCTCCTGTCGAGTGCCCCCAAAAGCAAGCCGCATGCTATAGGGACGCCCTTGGAGGCTTGCTCCCTAGCCACTGCTCTGCATGTCCATTCATACAGACCTGCAGTGTGGCTTCCGCTGCTGTTTCAGCCAATGAGGAGGGAGAGTTTTTCATGGAGAACTGAGGCTCATATGCACATTGCTGGATTACGATAGGGCTCAGGTAATTATTGGTCAGGGCTGGGGGGGGGGGGGGGGGGGGGTCTGCTGCACATGGAAGGTTTTTTTAACCTTCATGCATAGAATGCATGAAGGTAAAAAACCTTGAGCCTTTACAACCTCTTTAACATCTCTCCAGCAGTGGTGGAGCCCCCACAAACAGCTATTGTCCAGTACAATACTATACATGCACCAAAACTGGAGAATGGAATTTGAAGCATAAAGGTTGGAATTGTTACCTATAGCAGCAATCAGAATTTTTGTTGTTCCATATGGAGAAACCTGAATAGCTATTCATTCTGTCGTCCGTTTTAATGAAATGGGCCTCCCTCCTACATTCTGCTGATTTTTCACAGGACCGTATAGAGAAAATGATAGAATATTCAGTAATGGCCATACACCAGCAGTCTTAGATGCATATCCCTTTTTTTGTTTTTTTTTTTTTTGTTTTTTCAGTAGAGAATAAAAAAAAACTGCATTCATGAAGAGATCAAGGTGGGGTTTCCATTTTTTGTAATTTTTCATACTCTTGACCGCTTATATACCAACATTTTACAGGTGTGAAGTAATGAACACCATTTAAGCTAAAATCTTTTTTGATTCTCCCCTTCAGAACATACCTAAACAAACTAACACTCTATCTCAACTTACTTGCCTCAGAGCCAAGTCCTGTGCAATATTTACTTCTAAAGTAGGAATCCTCTTCTGTGTGTATTGAGACCTCAAAAACTTGTATGGGCCTATTACAAACATTGAAGCTGCACCTTGGGACAGCCCCATGCAAGTCTGAGGGCTCCGGTTACAAGTGTGGTTGACACCAAAGTTTACTTCTGCCAAGAGGCAGTAAACTATGCAGCAGGATTAGCCTATAGTAAGTGGCTGTGGTAAAGTGTTCAGGAGGGGTGGAGGATTTAAAGGATAAGTTCACCTTTTTGGACAAAAATAACTACCTTTTTTTTGCAGGTAAAAAAAAAATGTGCATTTTATTATTTTTTTTGTCAAAAATAAAGCATTACACCAGCAATCAGTAGATCGCTGATGCCATGCAGGTCTCCTGCAGACCTGTCAGAATATCGGCTTGCCGTACGGGATGTACAAAGAAGATTTACTGACCGGAAGCTTCAATGAACTACCACGGTGCTCCACAGTGCCGTGGTAGTTAATTGAAAACTACAAGCCCACAGCCGCTAAGGCTGTCGGAAGATGTAGGCACGGCCATGTGGGTGGAGCCCCGCACAGCCACACTGTTTTAAAATCTGACCGATCTAGTACGGGGAAACCTCCCTGTTATATCTGTCGGAGGGGGGGAGTGCAGCATTCGTTGCTGCGGCTATGAGAACATGTTGCATGTTCCACCCTAAAAGGGTGGAACATGTTCCAAAGGTGAACTTATCCTTTTAAAGGATTTATAGCTTAAAGCCCAACTCCGGGCAAATAAGAGAAAAAAAAAATATTCCTTGCAGTGGGGCTGTGCCCACACTGTAAGAGTTATTTGCTTGCTCGTGTCTAAGGAAACAAAGTTTTAAGGGCTTGTTTTACATGTGCGGTGGCGTTTACCGTCGTTCTAAAAAGCAGTCGACAGTGGATTGTTTTTCAGAGATTTGACAGAAACAGCCCATTGCACTGTGTGTTGCTCATTCCACGTGGCTGTAGCATGCTTGCAATAACCTCTTCTCTTGTTGGTAAATGTTTAAATTTGTATTCACTTAAATGAGTCTTATTTGGTGGCAAGACTACTTGCCAAATGCAACAGGTTGTATCAATTTCACCGTACTGTAACCAATGCAGTGGGTTCTAACATGGCTACTGGCCGTGTAAACTTGCAGCTTGGTGGCTACGGAACAGAGCACCACTGCTCAACAGCCTGTTTTTTTACCGTCTCTTACCCAAGCATTTAAAAAATACCTAAAGTCATTTGTTTTGCTTTCTTTGGCCTCAACTGCAGGCTGTGTGGGGGTTTTGAATATGGAGGTTCATTTTTTTTTTTTTTTTTTTTTTTTTTTCTTAATCTTACGAATTATGTAACTGTGTAACGTGAAGGTGCCATAAGTCTTGCCTAAGCTTTTCTTCTACAAAATAGTTGTTTTTTTCTATTTTTAATTAAGGAGCAATATAATTTCTAGTTGGTAAACTGCTTAACATACACAGGCATCAGATCTTAATTGTGAGTCTCTTGTTGCAACACAGTGTATCTCTGTTTTCAGGACAAGATATTGATGAACAGGTGGAGATTTCCATCTCTGTCTCTGCATGGCATCGAAGGAGCTTTCTCTGCAAGTGGAGCCAAAACAGTAATTCCAAGAAAAGTCATAGGAAAATTCTCTATACGACTTGTTCCAGACATGAACCCTGATGATGTGAAAAAACAGGTAGGATCGTTTTTTCCATGCCAGGTTTGAGTGAAACCTCAAGTAAGAGTGCGGGTGTATAGTGCCTTCTCTTTCCTTAGCCATACTTTGCAACAATAACCTTTGCCAGAACCATTATAACATCCCATACAAATACTGTGTTTTTCTGAAAGTCCGTATTTGCACAGAGCCTAGCACACCACTTCATGTGACAGGATTTAGGCCCAGCGATTGGACTCTCAAACAGCAAGCAAAGCAAAAGATGTGCATGCCCCGTTTCTGCAATGACTGGATTTTCTGTAGTGCTGAATAAGATCTTGTGAGGGAGCAAACTTCCTCATCTAGCACTGCACATTTGTTCACCAGGATTAGGAGTATGAAGAACCTTATGGTTTCCTAGGGAAATGCGTTTGAAAATTTAAAAAAATGATTCTACAGAACTGAATTTACTCTTTCCTAAATATTCCTCCCTCAAAGTGTATATGCAGTCAAAATCTTAAAAATGAAACTTATTTGGCACAGTTCTCCAGGCACGCATATTTGCACCTGTTATGTTTCTTTAAAGCGGTATTACACCCCAAACTAAAAATGTAAAGTAGTACAGCTTACCAGTCATTAGATGTGGCTGCATTAGTTTTCTCTTTTTTAGACTTTTTTTTTTTTTTTCTCTCTCGCTCTTTTCACCTTGTGATCTGGCCAGTGCCTACACCATGAATGAAGGAGCACAGAGACCCCTTTGGACAGCAGAATTGTCAATCGGAGAGGAGAGTTAGATGTACTAGCAGATTTAAATACACTAAACAAATTGAAGCCAAACACTTTTTTAATCAGTTACAGCGACATTGTTCCCCTCTGGCATCAAGGTCTTATATAAATTAATAATTGTAATCATTGTAAGCAACCCTGTTAGTTTTGAATGGTTTATCTCATCCCTCTTAACTGCCACATCTGCAGGACCGCTTGTTCTGGTAAAGCAAAAAAAAAAACAACCCTCATTTACGGGTCAGATCACCTGGTGAAAATAGGTGGTTTCTAAAACGAAAACTTTTAATGAAACCACCTATCTATGAATTGGTAAGCTGTAGTATGACTACTTAAGGACCAGCAATGTATCAGTATCATCCCTTTTTTTTTTTTTTTTTTTTTTTTTGTTTCCCCCAGCCGGCAGTCGGATTCCTTGTAAAAGCAATCTTTGCGGCCAGTTAGCTGCTGGATTGCTTGTATAATCACTGGGGGGATTGCGCACAGCATCCCCTGTCCCGCCCCCCTTCCATGGCTCTTCCTGGCTCTCCTGTCCCACCTGGCAAGCTGAGTGGAACTGGTGGCTGACCATACATGATTGGAGACCGGAATGGCTCCAACCATCTCTATGGTCTAAGAAACCGAAAGCGCTGAGCATTTAATCACTTCTAGTTGCGCTGGTTGTAAACAAACAGTGGTTTTCAAACCATGTCGGATCATACCAATCTTGGTATGAACCAAAGCATTGAAAGGCAGAGGAGAGTTCTGAGGTCTAATCGAGAGAGCAGAGTTCACTGATAAGGAGGTATAAAACCCATCTAAGTGCCCCCTAACAATCCCTGTGCTGAGGGGCCACATCTATAAGCACACCCAGCATGGCTTGGCAATGTCCTCCGCTCTCTCCTCACAAGGTTTTACTGAGATCAGTAGAAGCAAATGGTTCCAGTTGCTGCCTCCTTTGTGCTGTACTGAGTGAAGTTTGAGGGGAAAATGTATTTACTGGGACTTTTTTTTTTTTTTTTTTTTTTTTTTGTTTTTTTTTTTCAACTTCAAGCAGGGAATGCTTGGGTTATCTAGTTTATTCTGCTATCACCGATCTAAAACTACCCAATACTTCAGTTATATTAGCCCTCTGCTTTAAAATATATTTAATGTTTGGGGGGTTTTCTTGCAAAAACCTGTTGTGTTTTTTTTTTTTTTTGTTTTTTTTTACATGTAAACAAAGTGTCAAACTCTTGGTCTTTATGTGGATAATAATGTTAGCTATTGGGTTTAGTACCGCTCTAAATTTGCTGCTAATGCTAAAAATGTCATGATGACCCTGATGTAAATTGTAGTTGGCTCCTAATTTCCTATAGTCTGCTGACAGTGGTGTCTCTGCTGCCCCAAAATTGCTGAAGGGTTGATGAAACAGCAGGCAGCTGATATTGGCGAGAGGTAAGTGCTGAGATTTTAAACTAGAAGGATTTATGGAGATGAAAAGGGGTTTTGATGACGCACCAGATCAAGGATCTCCAAACTTTCTAAGCAAAGGGCCAGTTTACAGTCTTTCAGAGTTTAGGGTGGCCCAATTGTGGCCAGTGAGAGTAGAACATTACCTTGCATCAGTGGTGAGTAAACAATACCACCTTTGGTATTAGGGGGAGGAATAGGGCCCCGTGTTTTGCCAGTGGGAGGAATAGGGCCCCGTCATTTTGCCAGTGGGAGGAATAGGGCCCCGTCATTTTGCCAGTGGGAGGAATAGGGCCCCGTCATTTTGGGTCAGTGGGAGGAATAGGGTCCCGTCATTTTGGGTCAGTGGGAGGAATAGGGTCCCGTCATTTTGGGTCAGTGGGAGGAATAGGGCCCCGTCATTTTGGGTCAGTGGGAGGAATAGGGCCCCGTCATTTTGGGTCAGTGGGAGGAATAGGGCCCCGTCATTTTGGGTCAGTGGGAGGAATAGGGCCCCGTCATTTTGGGTCAGTGGGAGGAATAGGGCCCCGTCATTTTGGGTCAGTGGGAGGAATAGGGCCCCGTCATTTTGGGTCAGTGGGAGGAATAGGGCCCCGTCATTTTGGGTCAGTGGGAGGAATAGGGCCCCGTCATTTTGGGTCAGTGGGAGGAATAGGGCCCCGTCATTTTGGGTCAGTGGGAGGAATAGGGCCCCGTCATTTTGGGTCAGTGGGAGGAATTATCCTTTGTTTTGGTGTCCTTGGAAGCAAACAAAAAAGCCACATCCGGTCCCCAGGTTGCAGTTTGGGGACCACTGACATAGATCATTAGAGGAGAACTTGTTCTGATTTACACAGCTTTTGACAGGTGTAGCAACAGAAAAGCTGTGAGTCCATTACGGGAAGTTAGGAGCTCACTGCATTTCTGGCAGTATATTCAGGTATTTAAGTACTTTACTTCAGCTTGTAATTTTTTAGAAACAAACTGAAATTTTAAAGACAAAACCTAGGAATGTGCATGTACTGGGCAACTGTGCTGAATATTTAAAAAAAAAAAAAAAAAAAAATACTGCAATAATTCAATTTTATTTTTCTCTCCTCAATAATATATTCTTTCCTTTTTCAAAAAAGATATCACTGTAGTATTAGTTTTGTACCGATCTTCTAACTATCTAACTAGGCTTAATGCTGCATACTTACATTAAAGGTTGAAGATTACTTAACCAAGCAATTTGAATCACTGGACAGCCCTAATAAGTTCAAAGTGGTTATGGGCCATGGAGGAAAGCCTTGGGTATCTGACTTTAACCACCCTCACTACCTTGCTGGAAGGAAAGCCATGAAAACAGGTATGAGAATGGAATGTTTGTCTGGATATATGTGGCTTTCCAAAGTAGACGTCTCTTGAGGAGAAACATATTTTACCGGGAAAACCCTTTGCATGCATTTTTCATGATGAAAAAAGGCTCTGGACAGCATCTGGCAATGGAATTAAAAAAAAATTTCCAAATGCAAACGCTTAAACACGGTTAGCTATGTTTACAAGCATTTGGTGTTTTGAAACGCTGATAAAATCTACTCCTGAACGCAAGTTTGGTGCGTTCAAAAAAAATGACTGTAAACTCACCTGCCTGTAAACGACATAGTATACATGGACACAGAGGAAAACCATTAGGGAGAGTTCAGGGGCTGCTGAAAAAACTGCAGAAAAGCTCCTAAACGTGAGTTTATCCGCTGCAGTGTACATGGAGCCTTAGCAGGTCTATATTTACGGGTTGTTTTGCCCTAAACAAATGTACAGTATGTGGTTATGTACATTCTTATACACTCCACTTTTAAGTGCCAAAATGATTACAGCCAGGGGGTTGCTACTAGTGACCCCAAAATGATCTTGCTCTAACCAACAGCTTGCAGAAGCAAATTAAATCTGTTTATTCAGTGAGCTGTAGAGAATCATGTGATACATCTATTTGCAGCATAATAAAGAATAAAAGGCTTGTTTGAATATAAACAATCATTCTGGTCTACAAATATCAATGGTCATATTTTTGTTTATCGAATTCTTCTCCTGCAGTGTTTAATGTTGAACCAGACTTAACCCGGGAGGGTGGAAGCATTCCTGTGACTCTCACCTTCCAAGAAGCTACTGGCAAAAATGTCATGCTGCTGCCTGTCGGCTCATCAGATGATGGGGCACATTCTCAGAATGAAAAACTGAACAGGTAACTGGAAATATATTTTAATATTGGAACTGAGATGCTCTGGTTTTATTTTCTGAACGACAATAGTTAGTTTGTAGCTAGTTGGTACTATAGTTATAAAGCACAGCTATCTAATATCTCATCTGTTGGGGCCTGCTGATGGGCTTAAATGGCAGTGCTAAATATAGTAACCCACCATAACCGATATGATTTCAATTTTATATTACGAGTATTAGCCACCGCCCGCCTTATAGTCCAATGACTGGCGCAAGGTGGTTCTCTCGTTCTGATAGGACGTCATATGACGTTGTCCTATTCTCACTGCGCATGCTCGGCTCAGGGAGCGCGCAGCAATCTGCGGTGCGCTGTGTCCCTCGGACACAGCGGATCACCGATCACAGAAAGAGCCGAAGATGTCGGCTCTGTCATGTGACCAGCTGTGTCCAACCACAGCTGGTCACATGACAACATGGATATGCCGGTTATCGGCATTTCCCTTCTCTCGAGCTGTCACGCTGACCGCTCGAGAGGAGGGGAGAGCCGGTAATCGGCTTTCCACAGAGGGGACATGTACACTGATCATCAGGACACTGATGATCCGTGTGCCCTGATGATCAGTGTAGTCCCAGCAGTGCCACCTGTCAAAGTCTGCCAGTGCCTATCAGTGCCACATCAATACCGCATACCAGTGCACATCAATGCCATATCAGTGCCCATCTGAGCTGCCTTTCAGTGCTTATCAGTGCCGCCTATCAGTGTGCATCACTGCCAGTCAGTGCTGCCTTTCAGTGCCCATCAGTGATGCCTGTCAATGCCCATCAGTGCTACCTACCAGTGCCACCTATCAGTGCCCATCACTGCAGCCTCATTAGCTCATATCAGTGAAGGAGAAAAATCACTTATTTACAAAATTTTATGACAAAAACTAAAAACCGTTTTTTTTCCAAAAAAAAAATGTCAGTGGTTTTTGGTTTAAGAAAAAATAAAACTCCGAGGTGATTAAAAACCACCAAAAGAAAGCTCTATCTGTCACAAAAAAAATGATAAAAATTTCATATGGGTACAGTGTTGCATGAACCGCGCAATTGTCATTCAAAGTGCGACAGCGCTGAAAGATGGAAATTGGCCTGGGCAGAAAGGGGGTATAAGTGCCCTGTAGGCTAGTGGTTAAAAGAAGGAATGTAATTGGTTAATGATTTACTGCATTCCTCCACTAACAAATGACCTCGAAATGTAACATGCCCTCCACTCCCCACAGAATTTGACTGAGCGCAAAAGGTTCCTGCTGCTGCCTCTGTGTGCTGTGAGGAGAGAGCAGCTCTGCTGCAAAGGGGTACAGTGCTGGACTGAGAGGAGTTTGGGAGGAAATGTATCTACTGGGACTTTTTGCAGGGAATGCTTGAATGATCTAGTTTATTCTGTTATCACTGATGTAAAACTGCCTGATGTTTCACTTGTATTAGCTCTTCATCAGGTATTCAATCAGTTCCATTCACACAATTATTCAGAGTAGGGTATGGAGGGGCAGGACTGGGAGCCAATCAGGTGTGCTTACAAATGTGTTGGCAAGAAATATACTGATAGGAGAAAGCAGAGAGATTATCTCTTCAATTTGCTGCTGTCCTTTTTAATTGTCCCTCTCAATGAGGAGAAGACACCTCATCTACCTGGCTGTATTGTGTGACGGGACTGGATTAACAGAAATGCAATTTTTTTTTTTTTTTTTTAGCAGGTAAAACCGCTTTCATATGTGTTTTTTTTGCTGTTTTGCCTGGAGTTCAGCCTCAATATATATTTGAGATTGGCATTGCAGATGCATTTCACTGTGAAATCTGGGCTAGTTTTATGGACATAGGTTACTGCCCTTTGCACTGCCATTAACTAACTATTGTGTTTTCAATTTGATGTAGTCTAGGCAGTAAAAACTAATTTGGTTGTGAAGGGTTACTACTACACTTTGAACTTTGTTTTTCTTCTTTTTTTTTTTTTTTTTTTTTTTTATATATTTTCAACATTTATGTAACCAGTTAATTTCTCTATTTGATAATCCGATTATTTTACATCAACTAGGAAACCTAAAAATCCTGCTATGCACTGGGGCTGCACCTGTATTGCAAAGATTAAATGTTTGTCTTGGGAATTTGGTAAAGCACTCTTACCTACCCAGGCCTCCATTCCTGCAGGCTTCTCCATGTTGCTGGACCAGTCCCCATAGTGTCTTCTTTCCCTATGCTCCTGCGCAGAGGTGTCAAATTGGCGTCCCCTCCAGCTGTTGCAAAACTACAAGTCCCATCATGCCTCTGCCTTTGGCAGTCATGCTTGTAACTGTCAATCTTGCAATGCCTCATGGGACTTTGTAGTTTGGCAACAGCTGGAGGGCCGCCAGTTTGACACCTGTGCTCTAGCAGTCTAAGGCCCTCTGATGTCGACAAGACTGCTTCAGGAACCATAACCCTACACTGGACGTTAGAACATAGAGAAACCGTTGCAGCTTGGGGGAAATAGAGACTTGGGTAAGAAACTGTTTTTCCGTCCCATAGTCCTAAACAAGACGTTAACCCTTGTAGTGCAGGTTGAGCCCCACTAGAAATGAGGGTTTGCAGGTTTCCTGGAGTTGGACTTTAAGGATCTACATTTAGCATATACAGATGTTTTAATTTTTGTACAGTATTACAATTTTGTTACAAATCTTATCTTTTTCAGGTATAATTACATCCAGGGTGTCAAACTTCTGGGGGCTTACTTGTACGAGGTGTCTAAATTGGAATAGTCGCATAAACTCAGAAGTCATTATCTATGTCACTGCACAAAGAAACTATCGACTATACTTTTTATATGGATCATAACTAGTTCAAACAATAAAAAAAGAAATACAAATAAAAAAAAAAAAATTGAATAAGCATATCTGTGGGTCCCATCAGCTTTGTTCAGACTGTTTTTTGTGTAATTCTAGATCAGTGGTCGGCAAGCCGCGGCTCGCGAGCCACATGCGGCTCTTTACCCAGTCTAATGCGGCTCTTCTGTGTGCCGGGCGCCTGCTCCCCTCCCTCCTCTCGGTCGGCCGCTCCCCTGCCTCCTCTCGGTTGGCAGCCCCAAAAGTCCGCGCGGACCTTTTAATCCGGCCTGCGGATGTGGCTGTCAGGATGTGTGTAGGCGGGGCAGCGTGCCGAACGTGAGGGGAGGGGAGCTAGGCTCCTCTCACAGTCCGCCCTGAAGACCCGAACGGCGCGGGAAGACAGCGAGAGGAACGCAAAAGGTAAGTGAATTGACACGGGGGACTTGGCTTACTAGAAGGGGGGGGGGGGGGAATAGTACTGTGGGGGATGAAATACTATATGAGGGATGAATTACTTTATGAGGGATGAAATACTATATGGGGGGATGAAATACTATATGGGGGGATGAAATACTATATGAGGGATGAAATACTATATGAGGGATGAATTACTATATCAGGGATGAATTACTATATCAGGGATGAAATACTATATGGGGGGATGAAATACTATATGGGGGGATGAATTACTATATGAGGGATGAAATACTATATGGGGGATGAAATACTATATGAGGGATGAAATACTATATGGGGGATGAATTACTATATGAGGGATGAATTACTGTATGAGGGATGAAATACTATATGGGGGGATGAAATACTATATGGGGGGATGAAATACTATATGAGGGATGAAATACTATATGGGGGGATGAAATACTATATGGGGGATGAAATACTATATGAGGGATGAAATACTATATGAGGGATGAATTACTATATGAGGGATGAATTACTATATGAGGGATGAAATACTATATGGGGGGATGAAATACTATATGGGGGGATGAAATACTATATGGGGGGATGAAATACTATATGAGGGATGAATTACTATATGGGGGGATGAAATACTATATGGGGGGATGAAATACTATATAGGGATGAATTACTATATGGGGGGATGAAATACTATATGAGGGATGAAATACTATATGAGGGATGAAATACTATATGAGGGATGAATTACTATATGGGGGATGAAATACTATATGGGGGATGAAATACTATATGGGGGATGAAATACTATACGGGGGATGAAATACTATACGGGGGATGAAATACTATACGAGGGATGAAATACTATACGGGGGATGAATTGCTATGGGGGATGAATTACTATATGGGGGATGAATTACTATGGGGGATGAATTACTATATGGGGGATGAATTACTATATGGGGGATGAATTACTATATGGGGGATGAATTACACTATGGGGGATGAATTACACTATGGGGGATGAATTACACTATGGGGGATGAATTACACTATGGGGGATGAATTACTATATGGGGGATGAATTACTATGGGGGATGAATTACTATATGGGAGATGTATTTTCAGTTTTAAAAATGTGGCTCTCAAAATAAATTTCAATCATGGTTTTGGCGAGATTTGGCTCAGTTGAAAAAAAAGGTTGCCCACCACTGTTCTAGATGATTCTTTCACAGCCATACCTGAAGCTATTAGCAATAGCATTGGATTATCAAGTAACCGCTTCTAATACAGAGAATTCAAATGGCTATCTTATCTATTGTAGAGTAAACCTTTTTAACAGAAAAGCTAAGGGTAAAAGACAACCAGTGAAACAGGTTTACTAACTTTGATTTTATTTCAAGTACAAATACTTTTTTACTTTTTTTTTTTCTCATCATAAACGACAAGGTTTGAAAAGGCTTCCTATTTACCCCGTTGGTGTTAGTTGTTCATATAGTCCCCCTATACACAACCCATGCCCTGATGTTCACTGCATTGTTGCAGGACTAAAATCTGTCCCTCTTAAATATGATCATAGTAGAACATAATTTGTATTGGTTTGAAAGCTGCAGTACTAGATTTCATCAGCAGGTGGCACTATGCAAAATTCAGATGCCTCAGTTTCCTGCAGAGCTATAATTCAGATGTGATTGCCATTGCTGCTCTCTCCTGAACACGTTCATCCTTTTGGCTTTTTCTCTGAGAATAAGAATGCAGATCAAACATATTATGACTTCCTGTTGCATGTTTATTCTAGATCATTGATTTGGGCCACGGACAACCAGGCTATGTTTTTTCAAAAAGCTGACAGCCTCCATGTTTGTCAGTACAGGGAGTCTCTTAGGGAGGGTTGTGGGTTTTTTTTTTTATCTTTTTCCCCAACTGTTAAACATGATATATAGTAACTACTATAACATACACTCACTGGCTACTTTATTAGTTTCACCTGTTCAATTGCCAGTAGATCAGCTGTTTTTTTAAATACTCTGAACATGGCAACTGTGCCAGATGTGCTGGTCTAAGTCACTTAATGACAGTCAATACAATGCTGTGCCCTTAATAGGGATAAGGACGCATTTCGGGAGATGAACCCCCTTCCTCAGAGTCATTGTCTAGCCTGTAGAGGTCTGTGCATCGCTCCATGGATATGCCTCCCCAGACAATCACTGACCCACCACCAAAACGGTCATGCTGAATGATGTTACAGGCAGCATAACGTTCTCCACGGTTTCTCCAGACCCTTTCACATCTGTCACATGTGCTCAGGGTGAACCTGCTCTCATCTGTGAACAGCACAGGGCACCAGTGGCAGACCTGCCAATTCTGGTGTTCAATGGCAAATGCCAACCGAGCTCTATGGTGCCGAGCAGTGAGCACAGTGCCCACTAGAGGATGTCAGGCCCTCAGACCACCTTCATGAAGTCTGTTTCTGATTGGTCAGAGAAATTCACACCAGTGGCCTGCTGTAGGTAATTTTGTAGGGCTCTGGCAGTGCTCATCCTGTTCCTCCTTGCACAAAGGAGCAAATACCGGTCCTGCTGATGGGTTAAGGACCTTCTACGGCCCTGTCCAGCTCTCCTAAAGTAACTGCCTGTCTCCTGGAATCTCCTCCATGCTCTTGAGACTGTGCTGGGAGACACAGAAAACCTTCTGGCAATGGCACATATTGATGTGACATCCTGGAGGAGTTGGACTGCCTGTGCAACCTCTGTAGGATCCAGGTATCGCCACATACCAGTAGTGACACTGACCCTAGCCAAATGCAAAACTAGTGAAAAACAGTCAGAGAAGATGAGTAGGGAAAAATGTCAGTGGCCTCCACCTGTAAAACCGTTTGTATTTTGCGGGTTGTCTCATTGTTGCCCATCTAGTGCACCGGTTTTAAATCCGTTTCAGCTGCTTTGGTGTTAATGAAATTAACAACCCACTCTGCTACTTAACTGACCAGATAAATATCCCAGGGGTTTAACCACTTGCCAACTGCAGATAGCCAAATGGCGGCTTCACTGCAGCCGGCCAGTTCTGGGTGAGGAAAGTACTGCTGATAACCGGCAAATGTCAGAGGATGGATTGGCACCAATCATCAGGGCACTGATAACACTGTTCAACAAATTTTTATTTTTTGCCAGTTTTGGAAACAAAAGGATCCATTTCTTAATGAATTTCACATTCTGAGTTCAATTATAACAATGAAATTTTGTCAATTGGCTCTAGTTTTTCTGTAAACGGAAAGTTTTCTACTATAGGCGTAATGACTACGTAATGCACAATAATTATATAGATAGATGTCTTTCCTCAAATATAAAGCAAGTGATATTGACTACATAACAAAGCCTAAATGGCATAATATATTGCATAGGATTACCAAGAAAAATTATAGCCATAAGCTAAGTTGAATCATTTTAATACTTAGGATTCTCACTAGTTTTGTCTTCAGTTTGTGTCGGTTTTGCTTCTCTTGGCTTTTCTCTTGTATTCGAGGAAAGGGCTATCTCTTACAACTGTCCAGCAATAGTCAGCAAGCATTGATGGGCTCCATTTACCTTGATATCTTCTTTCCATAGCTGCAATGTCTTGATGGAAGCGCTCTCCGTGTTCATCACTCACTGCTCCACAGTTTGGTGGGAAAAAATCCAGATGCAAATGTAGAAAATGAATTTTTAGAGACATGTTGCAACCCAGATTTCTGTAAGTCTGGATGAGTTTTTCTACCACTTTCTTGTAGTCTGGTGTTTTGTTGTTTCCAAGAAAATTTGATGTCACTGATACAAATGCTGTCCAGGCAGCCTTTTCCTTTCCACGCAACAGAGAAAGAAACTCATCATAACTTTTTCTTCTTATTTAGCCCTTTTACAATTGGAGGCACCATACAAAAGTAACAATTACTAACATGATCTGTTGGCTCTCTCCAAATCATTGGCACAGCGAAAGGCATAGATGCCTTTTTTCCATTCAACCATTGCTCCAGTGCCGTCCCACAAGAATTGCAGGATATATGTGGTGCCCAGCTCTTGTCCTGGTCTCCTATCTTGCAGCCAAAATACAAGTTGTAGGCTTTCTTAATCATTCCTGTTATCCTCCTTTTTTGTGAGATAAAAGTTATTTCACCGCAGATATAGCAGAAATTATCTGCTTTATTCACACAAGTTCGAGGCATTACTGAGTAGCCTATATAAGCATAAAACGAAATGTAAAGACGCTGTCGAACTACAATCAGCTACAGATACTGCAGCTTTTATGCAGTGAAGTGATGCAATTAAAGGCTAATATTGCATCATCTCAGTATACATGCAATTTTCTATTGGTCACCAGTATCAATTGCGCAATATGCAGCTGAAGTTGCATCATAATTTTGAATGGCTTACGTCATTAGATGGGTGAATATATCATGGAAACTAGAGCCAATCAACATTTTTTAGGGTCATTTTCGTTTTCAGCACCCCAAAATTATG